AAAAAAAAAAAAAGAGCCTACGACGGCGCATGGGGAGAGAGCTAGCGCTTACCGAATTATGTGCGCGGTAAGTTCCGGTGCGATCTAAGTTTTACCTCGGCTCTCGGAATGAGATTTGCATCGCGACTTTGACTCATTCCCACGATCGAACTTTATGCCCATTGCTCAATTTGAATCAAGAAGAACTAGTTGTCAAAATGGTGTTCAAGAAACAAAGAGTCGGCATTTTTTTTCTGGAAATACGATCTCCAGCTACACTCACCGCAAAGGCCAGGTTGACTGGTAAGCCAGCCCTGTGGCCGGGGCTTCCCGCTCGATCCACTCGAAACGCCGCACATCTGAGACAAAATGGCCCATGAGTCATGACCAAGCAGGACCAAGCTCGTTAGCAAGCGGATGGATTGTAAGCAGGAGCGTCTGCGCAAATAAGCAAATGATTTGTCTTTTCGCTTCGACGCAAAGTCCCACTGCAAGGTGGACCAATTGTATTTTACGAGAAGTATCCAGCCAGCTCGTGCGTCTTACAAAGACCTTCGTGGAACATTTCATGGGCGGTGTTGAAAATGTAACAACGCGTTTTCTGATGTTGCTCCCCTCCTCGATTACCCGTGCCTACTGCACGGTTTACTGTATGTTCACGTTCCGTCTTCGACGGATCACCACCAGTGATTAGGAAGGTCAGGGTTCTGTCTTCGTGATGCTGAAGCTCTTTGAGTTATGTCATTGGCAAACTTGCGCATCTCGTTCTTCATTTCAGCTTTGCTAATACAAATTGCCCAATCTCGCTTGCTGCTTTTCCTGGTTGGCATAGCCGAGAGCCTGAGGCAATGGTCTAACGATGAATTTCGTGAAATCCCCGCAATAGTATGTACTATTTACTGCCTTCTGGCGATTTTCGCTATTAGGATATCAGAGCTCGTTCGCTAACACAAAAGCTCCAGACTGCTACAGCGGCAGTGTCGTTACCCGGTGTATATGAGAGGTTGATGCCATACTATCATGGTGATATACTCATATCTTCGTATCAGCTCCGTTGCACGCTGCTCCGACGTCTGTACCTGATCAGTGATGGCATGAGCCACGCGCATTCCTTTCTGGAGGTCTTCGACACGTCCGGGCACGAGACTATTCTGGGGTTCGTTTGAACGTATGCAGCCTCACCTCGAAGAATCAACCTTTCGATGATTCATATTCCAGAAGTGAATGTTTCGAGAATGCGCAAACAGCACAAAGCTCACATCCATCTGAAGGCTAGTGTCGAGGATCAGACGTAAATTATTAGAATAATCCCGAAATTGAAGTCAACACGAGTTTTGATCATTGTCTAACAACCAATATCTAGAGAACACGGATCCCCATAAACGTGCAAGCGGCAACAACAGCACCCCCCACAAGAGTGATGTACGCAGCGCGGCGGAGCACCTTCCGGAGAGTGAGTCGACTCTCGCCAGCGAGGCCTGCCGCGTCGATAGCAGCGATATCCTCCGCAGTCAACTCTGCGCCACACGTTCATGAGCAAACATGTGCGTTCATTTGTATGCCACACTTACCGAGGTCACCCGCAGCCAAATATCCTTCTAATCGTTCCTTCTTTGTACTGGCACTGTCATTCTCGTGAGTAAGGAAAATACAGCGATCAAAGCAGGTGACTACGTACGTAACCGCGACGACGCCCTTCGATTTCGCCCACGCAAGAAGAACTTGTTCAGGCTGTGAGTTGAGGCGAGAAGCGATCTTCTGTAGAGGTTTGTCGACGGGGCCACCAGGTTGACTAGTGAGTGGGCTATAACATGAATGAAGTTAATACCTGAGACCACGACACAGAGGTGGATTCGTACGTCAAGACACTGTAGGCCTCGCTGACAATACCGTACTTGTTCCCATATTCGACAATGGGCATCTGGGTACTGAGGATATACGGCTGGAAATAGATCTGTACATAGTATACGATTGAGAATCGGAGATGACGTGGAAAGATACGGTTACCAACTTGGTTGACTACTGGCTTAACCTTGGCAGAAGCAAGCAGGATCTCCAAATCTTCTACTTCGAAGTTACTAACCCCAATACTCCTGCGTACCAACGCCGCGCATCAGTAAACGAAATATCGAGATAGAGTATTCACTCGCTTTGCCAAACCAGCCTCCCGAAGCTTCTCCATCTTTGCCCAAGCGGTGGGAATATCGGGAACAGCCAGCGAGGGCGCGTGGATCAAATACAAGTCGACATATTTGAGACCAAGCTGAACAAAGGTTACTTCGACCATGCCGTTTGAACCAAGGGTATAAACGTACATAGTCGAGACTGTTCTGAATCGATGTCTCGATATCCAGTCCGTCACGACCGGAAAATTTGGTGGTAATGTACAGGTCCTCACGAGGGAGACCGCTCTCGCGAATCGCAATGCCTGCCTCGGACTCGTTCCGGTAAGCCTGCGCAGTATCTGCAGGCAGTGTGAGCACGCTTTATCACTCATTATATAAGAAAACACTCGCCTATATGATTGAACCCAATCGATATTGCCTGCTCGACGTGATCCGTTGACTGCTGCCCTTGGCCTAACTTCCAAGTACCGAACGCGACACTAGGAATACTGGTCCCTGGTATGTCAATCGTCGTGTGAAAACCCGCCTTCTGGTTAGCCATCTAGATTCTACTCTTCACATTAGACTTATACACATACCGTCATTCAAGGTTATAGAAGTCCAGGGCATCTTGTTGTCGTAGGTGCGAGGCTTTGTTAGAGGTCAATTCGAACGGGACAGCCAAGAGACAGCTCGAAACAAGGAAAATTCAAGTATATATAGTTGTTCAGACATGGGGGAGATAACGGGTGGCCGCAGGAACCGATGAAGCATCTGCATCAGCTTTCTCCAGCACGGCACCGCCTGCACCATGTGCAATCGTGGTGGGAGCAGAAATTCGCACGCCGCGCTGCATGTAGGTCGATTGAGTCTCTCACTGAGTTGTACCACTCATGCTCCCCAATCCTTGTGTTATAATACTATATATCAGAATCTCTGCCAGTGACTAGTGACTCTTGAATCCGAGAAATTTCTTGGCACTGAGCACGGGCGTACGAGGAATTCAGCACGCCTTCGGCAAAGTCTGAAGCCGTCGCCTGTTGATTACGATGATGCATCTCTACAGTGGTAGCACTTCTGATCCTTAGTGTAGGTCACAAAAGCTCATGCCTTAGCCTCTCCAGCACTAGAAGTTTCCAACCACAATCGAAGTGCTAGCGCCAAGATCACCGCTTCTCAATTTAGCTGTTCCAGTTATTTACTAAACCTCCCGGGTCAACACGGTGTTCCGAATTGACGTTTCAGCGAATATCTGCACATTCCAATTACAACTGCGGACGAGGATTATGAATTCAGTCGTCAATACATTCATAAACAGAGAAGCTGTAATCAAGCACAGCGTTCCTTCATGATCACAGGAAGAGGGCCCTTGTGTGTGATAAAGTAGTCCAAAGATTTCGCATCGTACGCTTTGTAGCTATATCCATCTGCAAATTCAAAATCGAAGGCTTGAATCAAGTTCGCGAGAACCGTCCTCATTTCTAACTGCGCGACCGGCTTGCCCACGCAGTTGGCGGGTCCCAACGACCATGGAAAGTAAGCGCTGGTGTTCAGCACAGCACCAGGCTCTCCTTTAGACAGCCACCGCTCAGGGCAGAAGCGATCAGGATCCGGGAAGAAGTACCGAGGATCACGATGATACACATACGGAGAGGCATAGACTGCTGTGCCTTCGGGCAAAAATATGCTAAACGAAATTACTTAGGTGCGACGATCGGCCTAGTAGTGTCGACATACCTTGAACCAAGCATATGCCCACCACTCTTCGGCGCAGGAGCACGCTGCAATCCCGTCCGTACAGGAGGCTCCATGCGGAGGGTTTCATTTCTATTGGAACGCAGTTAGAGATAGAGCCAGGGAGATACGTCGTTCACGAACATGACTGCATTTAAATATTCCAACTGCGCAAGCTTTCCTGCTTCAGTTGGAGCGACCTGGCCAAATGGGAACGCGGCATCAATCTCAGCCCGAAGGCGTGTGAAGCACGACCGATTCTCGATGAGGAAACACATTGCAGCAGTAAGTGTTGATGTGGTGGTATCCGACCCAGCTATAATCGCAGTTACTGCGTTGGATAACACTGCGGGCAACGGGACAGGCTTGTCCTCGAGCTTGGCTTCGTCATTCTGTATTGAAGTTATGTAAGGCAAAGAATCATCATGTAGAATTGAGTGCGCGCACGAGATGGTAGAAAAGGTCGTCAAAGACAGCTCCCTCCTTTATTCTCCTTGCCGTCTCCCTGTGCGCAAACTGAGCCAGTGATTTCATGGACATAGCGACACCCGGCATCGAGAGCACGCCTTTGAGGCACCACGGGATGTGCTGTGTTAGAGATGGCAAACTATTGAGGTCAATGATGTATCTTCGTATGTTGAACAAGCACACGAAACTTACTACATTCCATCGGATAGGAGGTTCAAGATGCCATGTTTGTCGCAGTCCTGCATCAAATCGAACCCACCGCCGAAGCTAGACGGTACAACAGATTGTTGTCAACTGTCCCGATATAACATCACCACCAAGCCAATAACTTACACAAAGTCGCCCATAAAGTCGAACCTACGTAGTAAAAGCCGTGATCAGACATTACAGCATTAAGGATATGAAGCGGCACGTACGCAAAGAAGCTGATCCACTGTGACAGATTCAGCCGCAATCCACTTTTCCCTGCTCCACTGCATTTTCTCTGCAATATATCGACCATCTGAGATATTCTGCGTATCGCGATCGGTTCGTACTTCTTCACAGATGGCGTCGTAAATGCGCGGTTCCACATGCGTCGTTCATTTCGATGGTGCTCCAAATCGCGTGTCGAGATAAGCTGACCTTTCGGTGCCTTCGGGTCTTTGTCTTTACTCTCGGAAAATCGCCTTCCGTCCCACACTGCCAAATGCAGTACTCAATGTCAAACATCTCTCATCCGCATAGCTGTAACTCACTTGGGCCTTTAGGCATTCCGTTCGCGCCCAAAATGGATGGTAACAAACTGACGTCTAAGATAGATAGCTCGTTTGGGCCTGGTCGCACGACTCATTGTCAGTCAAGCGACTAGTTGAATACGTAGAACATACCAACGCGTACAACGGGTCCATATTTATCATGAAGTTGCTTAAAGTATATATGAAGCTTCCCGCGAGATTGCAAATAGCACAACCAGAACTTGCTGAGCCTGCAAACCACAGGGCCTGGATATTTCCAGAGAGGGTGTATTGGTGACAAGCGGTATGTTCCGATAGATAGCAGCAAAACACTATAGTATGTGAAGTACGCCACGACGATGGCCAGAAGTGTCGAATTCAGGGATTCTCGGAAGATGGCTAATGGAATAGCAGGGATTACACCAAGCAAGATCCCCAGCGACGTCCAATCAGTAGATTCATATCGATTGAACCACAAGTGAGAGAGCTGTTAGAGGCGTATAAGAATGTAGAATGCAGACGTGATGATCTGATCTCACCAATGCTAGCCCACCGGATGCGAGAATGCCTTTATTCAGAGACATGTCTATAGGAGAAGACGTAAGTTTTGTGGAAATCGAACTGCGAACAAGCGGCAGATCAGCGGTTTTTAGTAGTATCAGCTGAAACGTACCCCTATAGGACAGCCGCGACAACTCGAAACTCGAGCATGGTTCCCGTTAAGCCTCAGAATAGGCTCTGCACTGCAAGCATTTGAACATGTTTCCAATGAAAATTCTGTGAAAGTATTTAATGACATACACAAAGGTTTTGAATTGCCAATACTTTATATCCATTAAAACTGCTCAAAAAGGCAGCTGTTGACATGAATTGCCACAGAATATTTACAGTATGTTCAAAGGAAATTTAATGAGGATTTTTGCATGTATTAATTTTCACAGAATTTCTGGCCGTGGCCATGACCGCATCCAGCTGAGCCTGCCTAAACTTGTCTGACCTACGGTACGCGCAGCGAGCGAAGCAGGTTAGTGGTGGAAATACTCTATTATCCGTGCAGTCCTGGACATAGCATGCAATATTGGAATTAAATAAGGCATATCTCTCGGCCGTTTGAAGCCGATAGATACGTTTTAATACTTGTTGCTAATGGAAAAGCTGAACAAGTACGTGAACATATTTGAGTCAGCGAGCAGGGGGAGTTCTTAGGGATACATGATGAACTACGTATTTTACTTACCGTTGTGGCACTTCCAAGGCACACGCGATGGAAATTTTCGAGTGCACGGCGTTGGCCACCAACTGTTGATCTAACATTAGCAAATACGAACGACAGAAGCCGTATAGATGATCCTCAGATGTATAGAAGGATATTCGGAGCGAACATCAAAATCGCAGTTGGCAATGTCGAGAACGAGTCCACTTGCCATGAGCGTCAACGCTTACGATTCTCCCAAAGCGAATGCCACCTGTACCAATATTAATGCCGCGGGGGTTCGAGGAGATAGCAATGTACAAACTGTACTCACCTATTGGGACTTCAAATCGAAGAGTTCACGCGCGTTAGTGACTGGCGCCATATTGAATGTTCCGGGTGAGATCGTACAACGGGTGCATGCACATGTTACGAGGGGATTCCGTTACATACGCATACTAGTGAGACATCATATTTTCTGCGATCAACATCGGTGTTAGCACTTAGCGTATAGCATATAAAGTTCTCTGGCGCCACGCATTCTCGCATACTTGGCTCAGATGACTCAGTTCCGACGCTACAACAATGTTCGGACCAATCCAGGCGCTAATGAGGACTGCCGTAATGCCACTCAATTTCTTTGGTACTACGCGCAAACTACAGGTTCAGAACATTCATATAATCGTACAGATATGAAAATACACAAGAGGTACATGTTTTGTACAGATCAAAGCTACCAATCAGTACAAGACACCTTCAAACTTCTCACCCAATCTTCCAACTTTCAATTTCCTCGATGTTCACTCATTCTTCAGCAACGAGGACAACGCTCTTCCCCTTGTTTTTGCCCCTCTGTACATCTTCTATAGCGTGACCCGCAAGGTGCAACCCGTGCTTGATGTCTTCGGTGTACTTGAACTCCCCACGCGCAACACGCGGCGGGATCTCCTTGTAGAACTGCTCTTGATATTTAGGGTGCAGCGGGCTAACAAGATGCCCAAAGAGCTTCAACCGTTTCGCGAAAATTTTATCAAGGTTCTTAACGTGATACGACTCCCCGTTGTAGCCCGTGATCATTCCACATTCCTGCGGCAGGCAGATTGTTAGCTAGTTGGAAGGAGCATAGGCAACATTAAGGACGAAGAGCACAAAACGTACGATGAAATTCGCGCCCGTAGCTGCAGTTTCCAGTGCAGCATCAAGGGACTCGCCACCGACATTGTCCCAATAGCTATGATCGCGACCATCAGCATAACATAGGCCGTAGGCAACGCATACACTAACACATTGATCGGGCCCTCCCTTCGGAGAACGTCAACTGTTCTCTCGGTCTTGTAGTTGAACGCTACGTCTGCGCCAATGTCCCGTATAAATGCCACTTTCTCTTCAGACCCAGCCGACGCGATCACTTTGAGCCCGTCTGCCTTCGCAAGCTGGATTACCATACTAGTGGAAAACTTTATCATTGCGAGAACGGAAGCAGAAGAGAAGAATCTTACGATCCAACGGGTCCTATCAATCATTTGAGAATATATTATAATGAGGATGACCAGAAATCCAGGGTACTTACCTGCACCGGCTGTTACAAATGCGACATCACCCTAAGAATAAGGTTTACACATTCAGTCGGACTACTTGGCTTGAAATCAAAAGATGATAGTACAGGTTTTGGATTCGCAAACTCTTTCCATCCGTAATAGGCAGTCTGGCCTGAATGACTTGGTGACAAAGCTGTTACATCTACATAATAAAGTTCTGCCACGTACCAGGCATTCCGCACACTCCAGTATAGACTGACCAGGGCATCTTATAGTCGTCCAATTTCCTGATAGGACGTTTGGGATCGTCATCTTGAGCGACAAAAAATTGTTGAAAGGCTGAGCGAGTAAACGTGCCCAGAGAAAGCTCGTTTAAATAGGTACATGATCAACAAAGGTATAAACGGGACGCACGGAACCACCCGTATACATGATCGCCAGGCTCGAATGCGGCTCTTTCGGATCGAAGAACGACGCCCACTCCATAGTTAGTGAGGCTTTACGAGTAAATACAGGCATTAGCACATAGTAGTTAGGGCAGAGTGAAGAGAAAACAACAGACGAGGATTGCACCAGCATATCGGCTTACCAGAACCACCGTATACGCCGGTGCAATCCGGTCCGCAGATATTGACAACGCGCTACAAAGCATAAACTTACGGTTCTCCAAGTACGAATGCAGGCTGGTCACGCAAAATCAGCCTCCGTTAGAACAATTAGTATTCAATGTCTTAACACGCACGGAATACGACGGGATGCTTGCATCCCTCATCCTCCCTCTCAGGTATGGGTCGATAGAGAGGAAAAGCGTCTTGATGAGTATCCCTCCGTTGAGGGGTATGCGTTCTAGGTCGATCTTTTGCGAATCATCATAAACGGTCGTCTTTCCTGGCTCGGGATATCCTGCATAGAGAGGAGCCGGTAAGTACAGGTGTACGTAGCAGAGCATGGGATTACTCGACCTGCAGGGATCTCGTTGAAGAGCACGCGTCCGTTCGTCACTGGCGCCATGGGAGGTCAGAGAGAGGTCGCAGCGGGGACGGGTGTACGGGATGGGGAGATGAGCGGCAGCGGTCACACTGACTCATGAAATGAAGCCTCTGCTATGAGCAATGATGACCCAGGTGAGGTGTGGCGTTGTGTCAGCATCATAGGGAAGTCCATGATGTGGGCCGCATCTGGTCATTGCCTTTCATTTTCACTGATGCTTTTCGGCTGCGCCCTCACGCCGGTGTCAGGAGTGGATGGACCCACGTGGCACGAGATTGAATGATTCTCCACATGCAAACCCTTCAGCTAAGCTGCTAGCGACGTCCATATGCTTGTGAGTGTCGATAGGCGGCGAGGGCGTTGAAGATGTATTTCGGCGATAAGACAACAGAAAATGAGTTCGGTACGAGCGCCGCAGCACCACCGGCAGATTCCCACGGTGGGATCCTGCGAGCAAGAAAATCCGCCCTGCAGCGACTTGCAGATTTTAGATCGAATAGCTAGCTAGAAGTAATTTATTACAATAAAGAACGATTTGTCTTAAATTCCACCCTATAAACACTAGTCTTACAGCATGCTACAAAGCGGTCTGTACAACTCACTCATCTGCCACAATGATTACACTCTTGCCCTTGTTCTTCCCCGACTGGACTTCCAAGATCGCATCGCCAGCTGCTTCGAGTCCACGTTTAGCGTCCTCAAGGTATTTGATTTCTCCACGAGCAACCATCCCTGGAACAGTTTTGTAAAACTCCTCGTCGTATTTCGCAAAGAGATCGAGGACGATGAAGCCCGAGAGCTGGATGGACTTCGAGACCAAATGCATCAAGTTCTTGATGTGGTATGGCCCCTGGTTGTTGTAGTTGGAGATCATACCACATTCCTGTGTTGTAGAGTCCAGTGAGATCTAGCTGCGCACTGAATTGCATAGCTCGCTTACAATGAAGCGCGCGTGAGGAGCAGCCGCCTCGAGGGCCGCCTCGAGCGTTTCGCCGCCGACATTGTCCCAGTAGCTAGCAGACATCAGAAAATGAATATGAGTAGCTTTATAACAAACGCACATGTTAATTGGCCCCTCTCGCTGAAGGACTTCAAGCGTATTCTCTGTCTTGTAATTGAACGCGACGTCAACACCAATGGACTTGAGGAATGCCACTTTCTCGTCCGAGCCCGCCGATCCAATCACTTTCAAACCCTCAAATTTAGCAAGTTGAGCGACAGTGCTAAACATGAACCAACTTGAGACAGCACGAAGCAAAACAACGTAAAAACTTACGCTCCAACGGGTCCTGAATCAGCCAAGATGTGAGTTTGGACTGGGCGACAATAACGGCAAGACAAACGTACCAGCTGCTGTAGAAACGAAGACCACATCGCCCTGGCGTCATGTGATAAGTGTAAATTTGAATCCACAGCAGATCAAAGAACCTTCTGCGGGTGCGCATATTCTTTCCAAGCATGGTAAGCAGTTTTTCCTACCAAACTCCACTTAGTACTGGCCGCACTCAATTGGCGGTGAGCGTACCTGGCATGCCGCAGACACCAACATACGCCGACAACGGCAGTTTCTCTTCATTTTGAATCTTGTAGAACAACTTCGCGTCCTTTGCCACGAAGTACTGCTGGAAGGCTAGCCAGGCGGGAAAATCTAATTTAAAATTACAAAAGGGCAGCAATGCGAAAACGTACGGAAGCCGAAGGCGTAGACGTGATCGCCTGGCTTGATCAAGGGGTCCTCGGAGCGAAGGATGACTCCAACACCATAATTATCTAGACTGTCAAATTCGTGAGATCAAACATAGATGTATCGAAGCTCCTACGGCAGACATACGGTTGTCCTACAAAGAAAGGGGGCTAGGAGCGCTCGCCGTTAACACATAAAACGAGAGATCGCATCGTGAATTACTCACAGTGTAACTTTGGATACTTGGATCCCTCATCTTTCCCCTCATGTATGGGTCGATGGAAACTACGAGAGTTTTGATCAGGAAGCCGCCGTCGAGTGCGGTCGACTCGAGATCGATAGTCTGCGACGCATCGTAGACCGTCGTCTTCCCTGGAATAGGGTAACCTGCGTTGTCGTGCAATAGATTAGACGTGACGAGACGTATCCAAATTACTACATACCCGTTGGGATTTCGTTGAAAAGAACGCGTCCGTTGGTGACTGGTGCCATGATATTGGATAAATTCCAAGATTATTCAAGAAAGGTCGGGTGATATACGCTAGCAAATCTTCACGCTTTTATGCGTGTGAGCGATGATGTGTCTGTTCAAGATACTCCTAGTTTGGCTGGGAGGAAAGTTTGCACAGTAAGCAAAGGCTTACTCATCTGTGGACATCGATCGTCGGGAAATTTCACATGCCGTCATCCGCTCTGTCTTCCACTGGATGGAATATATCATGTCTTGGATCTTGATGGCATTGTTAGCAGAAATGATAGCTCGAGGTCCTTCCGCATAATGACTGATTGGCAAGTGTGGGGAAGTTTGGATGAGTAAGAAGCTAAAAAAAGACGGGGCAGATTTCAAGTAGATGCACTAATAGCATTGTCTTAAGTAGTCTAAAACACGAGCATAGGATAACGGCCCTTGTCCTATGCTCTAGACGGCCCGGGGTTGCTCATTTCGCGGTATGCCCAGTTAGAGACGTACAGTATCGGTGCTGAGTTTCCGACGTTGTCGTTGCCGTCTTGTCAGCTCCTTTCGCCGCCATAGCGTACAACTTCAACAAGTACGATTCAGCAGATGGGCACCCGAACTCTCGCCTCGAAATTCATTCAAGTCTAGCAACTGGAAGTCATGATAACATCGAAGACGGAAAGCCTCAGGCCCAAGGCTCTCGTGAATATTGAAATACAGACTGTTCACTCGAACTGAAGGGGTCACTCTCGTAGAAATCTGTTCCTGGTAGGGTAAAAATTGATAGGATAGAACTTGAAGTTGATCGGATTGGAACTGACTGTGGGTTCCACAACGAACAGCATCTTGGCCTCATGAATTGCATACGTCAACACGATAAAATGTTGATACGACCTCTCCAGGACATCATCACCTCGTTACCTCAGCTTCTTGCGCTGGTGTCTTCGCATAGACACAAAATCGGGATACCACTATTTGATTATTGTATACTGATGGAGAAGTGGAACATAATAAGTAACCTCATACATGAAGAATACCAATCAATGGTAAATTTTCCCTGTTATCGCTAGATTCGATGCAAAATCAGCAAGGTGATGAGCGGATGGCACCACATGGCAAGCTGAGAAGCTGAGACTCGGATAGGACACAGCCGGAGGAGGTGACCAGCAGGCTCCCAAGAAAGGAAACGGCGGACTGAGGCTAGAGATGCTGTGGCGGCGGTGTAGTTTCAATTCAAATTTCAAACCCAGGCGGCGGTGTGGCGCCGCCCTCTCTACACGCCGGCTATCCCTGTTCTGGCTTGTGGATCTGGTTCTGCATCGTTTATTGAAGACTATTGAATGCAGAAGTTGGGTGTCTCTCATTATTGCTCAAGTTTTCTCTGGGTATAGGTCTCGCATCAATTGGGAGACTACCACGCAAGCTGGGAGAAAAGATATCCGATCCGCTAAAGGGGACGGCGTCACCGAGTTTAACGGGAGACGACAAACGACTTACGGCGTCCATATAGCATCGTCTGTACACTCTTCAAAATACATATCTGATTTCCCCATGTCCCCATTCTTCGACAGACTGCCGTTTCGCATGCTCTTTCTATTTCTGTACTAGTGCCTCAACTCGGGATCCTCCACCGATAGTCTCCTATGACACAAAATTCGGTACTATCGGTATGCTGGTGAGCAGTCTAGGGTGAGCAATATTTAGCAAGGGCCCAGGAGCCCCTCGTGTAGTCTGCTTCGTGGCGGGCGGTGTCAGGTAGTCAAGCTAGTGAAGGTTTCATTATGTGATGCCCAAAAAGTATAAGTGAGTGTTGCATCCAGGATCCATCCATTCATTCCCTATAATCACAGTCGCCTGCTTGTTTCGATTCTGGCTGGAATACTTGATGTCGTCCCCGCACGTGCTAAGGACACATACGGGGACGAGATCCGGAACAAAGGGATGAGGCTAGAGGACTCTTGAGACACAGCAGATGGCCAGTGAGCAAACACTTGATACGTAGCCAAGCCCCAAGCCAATAGGCTAGCGCCCAAGGGGCATAACCAAAGACGAGCTGTTGCCCCGCTTGGGACCATCGTTATGGAGGCTTGAATCATCTTCGAAACCAACCGTCTACCTAGGCTCCCTGGGATTATCTTTATCTCTTCCGGAACGGTGTTGTACTACTATTATGGCAGCTCGTATCCTCGCTGGTTCTCCTGTTTACTTCATTGTGAGCAATCCAATCGCAGAAGCTTTCTGTACTATGCACACTCTAATATAATCTGCTGGTTTTTCGACAACGAACGGCCTACCGATGGCCTGCAGTTGGTGATTGAGCGCCACACTAAGGCTCCAGCGTCTAATGATATGTCCTTATCTGAAACTCAATAGTTCACCATCTCTAACCCAGCACGTCCCTTGTCTGGTTTCACTATATACAAGGCACGCAAATTTCGTCATGCAGTCTTCTAGGGGTTCATTGGGCCCGCGCACCCCTTCACGCTTTGCGGAACTGTCTATCGTCCGGTCTGGATAAGTATGGGTGAGTCGAGTTGCATGAATACATCCATACACATTTATTGATATCGCGTGTACATCAATAGTTAAAAATCTGCGCAGTGGACAACACAATATCGATTGAACTTGGAAGAGTGCATTTATCCGCCAATCGTCCACTAGCAATCCCAACGAAAAGATCAGAGCACCGGGATCAAACTTTCCATCCACCAGCCAGACCCATCACGTTCTCAGGATCGTATATCGCTTTCAGCACTGTTAGTGTGCCTAGCGAAGCCCCATATATCCTTCCCGTACTCGTGCCATAAATTGCGTAATTTGGGTAGAGAGGCGCAGTGGCGACGTCTGCCTGCCCCTCAATAACCGCTGTCTCCGTTAGATTCGTGGCGCTCTCCAAAATTGCATCGTAAAACGCCTCATCGGCCGAAGAATTGGTCCAACTGAAGTAAAGGTTCAACGGCAAGTAACGCTGTGAGCGAGTTGACGGATATGCTGACGGGCTCCCGTGTGTGAGGATGGTCTGCAGGAAGGGCTCGACGTCATAGCTGATGATTGCTTCACCAGCGGAGAGCATTTTGGCACCCCAATACTATAGCTGGCATCTAGTACCGTATAATAATTTCCACTATTGTCACTCACCTCTGCTTGATTGGTTACTGCCTGCATGATGGAATAGGTGATGTCCCTTAGGGATACGGTGTTATAGTATCCGCTGTTGAAGTGAATCAGCATCACGCTCAATCGCTTACAGTTGCATCAGCTTTTTTACCGCTTATTTGCGCTCGTCTGGGTTGATTCGACTTGCACAAGTGACAAGTAGCTCCGGGTGGAGACATCTTCTTCAACGTTGGGGATGGTCAAGAAGTCGTCAAAGATGCCTGATGGAGGTGTAGGCGCATCATAGAACATTATTACAGACGCTAAAATCTGATATTGACAAATTCAATACGTTTTTAAGCAGGAAGACGTGTAGAGCCGCAAACCTGTCCGCCTGTGTAGTCGATTGTGGTGATAAGCGCTGCTTTCGGATCAGTAACATTCGCGGCGAAGTTGGCGGTAGCTAAGTTAACTTGGTCTATGTATTGACCAAGGATCACGAGTTGGCCACCCTACGTATACAAGACTGAGAACAGTTCAAAAACCAGGAGGGTGACATTGGCCTACCCATACTTGTCCCTGAGGGAATGTCTTGAGTGTGAAAGTTGTGACAATTCCCTATTGGAATACAATAAGCGCTGCGTTTCAGTCAACCAATTGACATGAATCATACAAAGTTATTGTAGCCTCCCTATTTTCAGCTTCAGCTCTAGCACAACTTGTAGATTCATCTGACTCACCTTCAGACCAAAGAAAAGATCGGGATTGGAGGCCTCGGTAACGTTTATAACTGAACTGTTGGGCAAAACCAACTGATAGGCTTGGACATTATCGAGGGTCAAACCATACTGATTGGTCAGCCATGAATAACCTGAGCCAGTCAACATCTTTCCAATATGTGAAAGACAGAAACGAGCTTACCTCCACCGAGTGTCAAACCCGCGACACCAATACCAGAAACACGACCTCCAACGACATTGACGTCAAAGTCCTCTAAAGCAGCATAAACATCGTCCCAAACCAAACCTGCGCCAATAGCGACTGTTCCAGTCGAAGCGTCGTAATCGACATCATTGAACCGTGTCATCGCAATTTGTACCCCCGGTGTAGAGGAGTATCCAGGATTCATGATGTGCCCGCCACCTTTCACCTGCACAATTAACATTAATGCAACTTCCATATCATCTTCTTTGCAGATCTCACAGCAAATGGCGTTCGAGAAGCTCCGAGGATCTGAAGCTGTAAACCATCGTTCAAAATCGTAGATTAAGATGAAGCCAGTTTACATACGATCACACCAACATCTTCAGGCGTCCCTGGTTCCACAGAGCAAACAGAATTCTGCGTGCTGGAATTAGCATAATGATATATATCCGCTTCGTAATTCGGGCTCGCTATTTAATATTCTTCCTGTTATCAGCGCTCCGAGAGAACACCTTAAGCGGCACTTACAAGGGTAGTAGACGCTGGATGCGGAGGATATGGTGTCTGCAATCCGCTCGCAGACAAATATAACACTGCTAGAGTTGGCATTAACAAGATGTCCCGCAGACAGGGCCGAAATAAGGGTGAGTGTCGCTATGAGGAGCATCGCTACTCCAAATGATCAACGCCGTCGCTGAGACGGCAGATAATAATTCTAAGGGGAAATGAGGGTTGGATTGTTGTTAGGTCGATGAGTTCCCGCCTTCAACTTCCCCGCTTTATACTGTGTCATCTGTTTGCTAGCGTGTACCTGATCCGAAGACCATCTTCATCGTGAAGGTTCACCCAGACATAATGTACCTCTTAGCTCCCGGACTACATATGCTAGTGTTTCAGCGGCGGGCGTAGCGCAGGGGGTCAGCTTCCTGAATTAGATTGGCATGATATTCACAAACTCACCTGACAAGTCATTGATAATTGCTCCAAGATCTTCATCGAAAGGTCAGTCTTGACTATAAAACTAGTGCTATGGTTGCGTGCTTGTCATGTTATGGATTGGACTTGTCACCAGATTTGGGGACGACAGGACAACCTGGTTGGGGGTAGCGCTGAGAAGCATTAGCGTCGTAGCATACGCATGACCAGGCGCGTACAGTAGAACGGGAACACGTATAGGCTTAACCTCGATCACCTTCGGCGGTTCTAGCGACTGTAATCATAGTAGAGGCACACTGGCAGAGCAACCCAATCCTCCCACTAGAGCGAGTATCAGGCGCAACCAAGATATGCATCGTGCGTCAGGATTTTTTTAAACAGACTTATGGGACACATATATAGGACACGCGGGCCTGAGGTTGGCTGAAAATCCTAGCGCAACGGACTTTGACGCAGGGTGCGGGAAAGATATGATGATAGTGAGCGCTCGGCCCACTTGAAAGGGCGTTAGACACGCACATACAGCTTGCATCTAAGAGATGTGGTACGAGACCAAGCATATTGCGGTGCGCTGGCGCGATTTAGGGCACGGGTTGCAAATAGGCCAGTCAGGCTTGTCCTGTGGTAAGGCACCCGACGCAGCTTGGGCTGCTAAGTAGGTTCCGAATAAGACGTAGGCGCCGAATGCAGACTGATGTCAATTAAAGTATAATCTGGAGGAATGTTTCCCATGCTGAGGTGGAGCTGACTGCGTTCAACTTGACAGCTAACCTCAAGCTCTAGTGCCTCATTATGATGAGTGCCCTAGTCTATACAACACTGGCATCACATCGTATCACGAAAACGTAGTGGCACTTTACCCAGACCGGGGCTGTTCGTTGCTTTGACCTCAGAGCCTTGTACCTTCACCCTTTCGGTACATACGATGTTGCAATCGTTTGAGCTAATTGTCGTCTACGTAAATGCATCGTAAAATCGGCTTCGCTGCCGAGGTGCGAGCTGAGGCAGGAGTAATAAACCAATCTTGTTTTCATATCAACGCCACAAATGGAGGGGAACTTGTAAGTGCTACATACGGACAACCTGCCAGTGGATAGAGAGTAGCGCAGCCAGTCAACAAAAGAGTTATACGTGGGGACCATATGGGTCAATGAAGAGACTGGTGGTTCAAACGAAATGTGAGGTCTGTGTTTAGGGCTCGGATGTAAAGAGGAAAACTGTGACGCGGGAGGTCCCCGCCGTTTCCTTTCTCGGTTGTCGCGCCCTCGGCCCGACGCGTCCGGCGCGCGGCCTCATGCCCTTCCAGAGTCACAATATTTTCAAGCACTTCTCTCAGCCTCGCTGATGTACATTATCACTCTGGTCCGCACAACTACAACTTTGTATGGTGCATCAATTTGGCTTGCGTTTGTCCTCGTTTCAAAGGACTGATCTCCCCCCTGAAAATGTAACTTGGGTGCTGCACGACTGTAGCGTATAGAATTATACCACGCAACAAAACATTTCCCCCCTGACACTACAAATATTTACCCTACTGGAAGCTGCCACGATGCATATTCGAGATGCCTCGCCTTGGAGCAGAAACGGGGAGTCTCGTCGCAAGTCGACTGTGACGCAGCCCGATGGGGCCCAAAGCTTTATCTCGCGACCGTCGCCTTCTAAGCTATCTTATTCGCGAGATAAATGGTGAACATGCTGAGAAATTCTCAGACTACATAAATCATTGCGAAGACGAGAAAAGCATGGTTGAACTTGCTAAATTTATGATCGGCCGGTTTTTTCGCGTCTGCGAGCAGATTGTGTCATTCCTTCTGACCTCGCTAATTGCATCATTATCAATTCAGTCAAAGCGGCGATGGGCGATCCCACCCCATTGGTTAGTTCCCCATCGCCTTTCGATGCAGTGGAAGAGCAAGTGTCATTGCTTCTTCAGCGGCCTTCGCTGAAGCATGATGAATTCAAGAAACTGGTCAATTGTAACGTCACTCGTATTTTCCGCTCCAATTTTCATCCTAGTAGACCTTGGCTCGTGATGGCTACCGTTGTGTTTCAACGAAACGGTGGGACGTGGCGTCGCTTGACATTCTTCCCTCTAGGCGAATTGTACTCCCGCTGAGACTAAATCCTTCGCTTATTCTCAACTTGCACATATCATACCTCAGTCTATCAGCGCGCATTTATCTGAAGATACCAGGATAACTGCTTTACGCGTATATTTGATATGCTTGCCAATCATCGTTTAGAGACTTCACGCTGCTTCCGTGTGGGCAGTGTTATCAAGGTTTGGATGTCAGGGGCTCCCTAATGACTTGAATGGTGATTTTATTCACCACATGGAGAATTTTATGACCTTGAATCCAGATTTTTTTCGACTCCTTGATTGTCTGGCTGAAGGCAACGGTGAGCAAATAAAATTCATACACAATGTCATCTCACGGTTATGATTGTCAGGGAACCTCAAACTGTTATAAAGCGCAGACGCCGTCTAACTATTCCCAAGATCCCGGATACCGTTACATTCATGTCCCATGTTCTGGATGTGCGATCGCCCGACGCGCGGTATATCGCTTTGCATGCGACGTGTGCCAGAATTGTTCATCTTTCAGGCGCAGGCGCATATGTCGAGATGATGCCGAGGGATGAAGAAGATACGACAGTTCTTGCAGAAAATGGATTGTCAGCAGAAATATTAGAGTAGTAGCTGTCGCAAATTATGGTGAATCATACATGAACGTGCCATGTCGGATGCCGTCGGGGACATTAGGTTTAGTGTTCAAAAAAGATTCGCTACATTGGATAGACGAGTACGGAGTGATGTTATCATGGCGGAGGACGTAACAAGATTTCGAGTGTATGTTACCGTAAGAGATCAAAAGCAAAAACAAATATAGAGCGCTATTTTCACTCGTTATTGACTTGAAGAGACACACGGGACCTAGGATGTGAGTGAGTGCTAGTAGAAGCGAGGTGGAATATAGAGCACGTCAACATGTGTGCAATGAGCTACTCACACAAGCCGTCCACTAGCATGCAATGAAGGAAACCTCGACGAAAGCTGACTCTCCCAGGAGTCCTTGGGCATCACCTCCTTCACACTGCTACGTCGAACACAAAAGTGAAGATGAAAGACGGCGCTTTGTAGAGCAGGATATCGACGGCCGGAGAGAGCTTGGTCCATTAACGCATAGCAATTATTATCGACGTTGTCAAGAGCGTCCTGGACAAGCGGAGACTTGGCATCATAGAGCAACGAATTGAACTTGACTTCGATCAACTTTGGAAGAGACGCGCGAGACAAGATGTTTGCCGCTCTGATCATGTCTTCAAGGCGAAGATTAAATGACAGGGCCTGCAAGCGGACGGCCGGCGTGAGATCGATCTGAAAGTCTGAGGGACGAGCTGGAAGACGTCCACATCAGCCAAATTTCTATAACTTGACACCAGCAAGATGCGTACCATCAGTAGGAGAGCCAAAATAACGCTCTAGCGCGATGCGCAGGGACAAGAGCGATTCGGCAACCACAGGGAGTAGCTTGGAGCACTTCTCCAGGGCATCATTACGGGAGGAGAGATGGCGGACGTGTGCGTCGCTCGACGCCAGGAAATCTATGACATCATTGCTATTATGCAGATCGACGGTGTCGAGTCTGAGGGGATGTCGCACCCAAACAGTGCTGGCCACATCACAGCGCTTCTCGAAGTGCACTTGATGGCAATAAAGGGAGGCGAGGCGGGGGAGCGCACGAACAAGTCGCCCAAACACAACCGCAGAAGGGAATTTTACCGAGAAGAAATCGAGGATGGTCACCGACCCAAATGCGAGGGTCACATGGAGGAAGATCTGCGTGTGCAGCTGCCCAACCACCCACACACCATTTTCGAATCTGAGTAGTTCGACTCGAGGCAATTTCTGTGCCATGCATATAGCAAACGTCCCAAAGACGGCAACCGACTCGTTCCACCAATCGAACGAGACTGCTTTGATGGGGCGGCACCGCTCGGGGTGCTTGTTCAGTACTTTGATCAGGCGGTACACCTGGCTTTTATCCGTGTCCCTCACATCAAGCCTCTCCTGGGCACGAAATCGGCAACGAGAATACCACCCTCTACACACTCTTCCCAGTGTTAGTAATCGGGCTTCATATACCTCGTTATCCCTATAGGCGCCCATCCAATCGTCCGCGACGCAATCAATCACTTTCTCCCACAATTCGACTGGGAGCTGTATCAAATGTTTGAAACGCATGTCCGGCTCTGACCTAGCGACTTCGGTGATAGGCCCGATGGACCCCATGTTGCTTTCTGCCCTTGCGAAGTCCAGTTGTGATACATTTGTGAATGTCACACACACTCACTGTCTCCATTGGTACTAGATGTCTCTCCTGGTTCCAGTCTCAGCTGAATCAACAATCTGTTATGTTGCATATCGATGAGAGGTGGGGCCGTAAGTGGAGACGACATGATCTGCAGATGGTGAACGAGGGAGGAGGGGCGCATAGTGCTCCTCGGCCTATAATGTGCTCTCTAACAGCTCAGCGCTCCGAGTCAACCTATGTCGTCCCACACGCACTATTCATCAAACTCAATCGCATTGCATATAATCCATTATGGTGAAACTGCATACCAGCAAGCGCATGCTAGGATGTGGGGCCAGCTGGGTCATGCATCTGGCACAGTATCGTCGTCGCCAATGTGGCATCGTGCAAAGCCCGACCTGTCCTCGGCCATTCAGCCCACTAGGAAGCACAGCACAATGTGCTTCAGCGTGTATCTGTCGATTGCGCGTGGCTTCTGATACGTGTGAAGTACCGTGTACATACTGCTCTCAGGCTGCTACCACGACGCCTCGCGGAACTAAATATCGTCCGGAGCAACGCACGTTAGCATCTGCCAATGTCCTCACATGGAGGCCAGAAATAAATGGATTGCGTCTAAGCATCTCAAGACCTGCCAGAAGAGCAAAGCAAAGACTCACCCATGGGATCAGCGGAATGCGTTCGCAGGACAAGTGCCCCGGAGTGGGGCGTGAGGCACACTTTCCTCGTTTGCTACTTACATCAAGAGAACCCAGGGTTTCCTTGACGGCCTTGTAAAAACATTTTTAAAAATTTAAAAAAGACGGTCTTGTATGCTTGTATGACTGATTATTACATTGTAGTTTTCATCTTACATACAAGGTAAATTAAATATAACAATTACTATACAATACACCATTTGTCAAAGGTTATATCAACCAAAGTCTTTTTTTTTAATTCCAGGGTTTATACTCCATACCGTAGGGTACATGCAGAGTGTAAATAAATGTTAATGCGGGGCGGTAGTCACCCCGAAACGTTCCCCTCGCTCGCGAAAGAGCCGAAGGGAGATACGGCGCGGGAGGATCCCACTTCGGTTGGGCCATCCCGCTCATATCAACCAAAGTCAGTTCCAGTGATGATACATATCCCTATGAGGGACCGAGTTTCCACCTACAATTCACAACACATGAATCATTAAACATGGATGAAAATGTTCATTCGACCACGCTTACGCTCCCCGAGATTATGATCATGTCGATGCACCGTATAGGAGAAGAACTCATGCGCAGACTACGTAGCGCGCTTATCCCTGGAGTCTCGAACAACCACATGAGGCGCCAGCGAAAATACACTTCTCAGTTACACAATCAATGAGGGTGATATCAATACACATCTCTGTCTTCACTTAGTTACACAAAGGATGCTACTCTGCTTCTCTCTTTTTCTTTTTAGAGCCTTGCATCGTCCGGCATACGACCGTATTCTTCACCCTGATGCCCAGAGACGCTTCTTCAGTCCGAGCGCCTCTCGTCGCGACCGCGACGCCGGGTCAAAGTATGGCTTCTCGCCGAGCGATACCACACGGTAGCCTTCGCGCTTCTCATCATAGTCGCGCGTCACTACACACAAATTTCGAGTCAGCAAATGTACAGACGGAAAATATTATGGTTAGCTGCGCAGCGTACCGTTGTGGATCGTCGACGAGTTCGCCCAGATTGCTACATCGTTCCTGTCAAATACGTGAGTATTTGTCGTCTAGAAAGATACAGAACGTAGGGTGGTTAGATACGTACTTTTGCCATCGGAAGCGGACTTGCATGTCGTGGTTCTCCGTGACAACCCGGTGAAGGTACTCAAGAGTCGCATCGCTCTCATCCTTTGTCAGCTCAAGTATGCGCTTCGTGAAACTGGCACGTCCGTTAGCGCGCACCCCACAACAGAAAGACAGTGCTCACTTGCGGTTCACGAAGAGACCCTTCCAGCCCGTAACGGGGTTCGTGCGAATGACTGGATGCACGGCCTTGAGCTCGAGACCTACGTTGGCAGGATTTCCTCGCACGCCTGCGAACAGTGTCTTTCCCGTTCTGCAAGTTACAATCAGCTCCGGCTCTCAACACGCACACTAACGTCAGCGACACCTACGCGGCAGCCCCGGTGGCGAACTTAGTACCATCATGTAATGCAGTGAGGCCCTCAAGGTATTTGGCGTATGCAGGGCTAAGGCGGTCATACGCTTCATAACCGCTAGACCAGAGCGTGTCACCGCCGTTCTCTGGAAGCGTGTGGACTTTCAGGATGGCGAAATCCGAAGGCACAGGCTCAAACGTGATGCTGAGTCACCTGTCAGATTACATAGCATACAGAGGAGAATCTGATATACTCTGAGTGCCATTCCCTACCGGAAAATTCGGAGATATCGAGGATACTTTTGTATTCCTTAACCCTGTTCATAGTATGCTGTGAGTCCGGTAATATAGGAAATATGAGCAGCCCAATGACCTGTCCTTTTCGGAGGTAATTGTGTGGATCTCCGCGGGAAGATCCACAGGCTGGTTGTCTGTTGGGTGAATGTGCAGCCCGGACTCTTTAGGGCGCCCAGAGAGTATGCCCAACTTGTTTCCGAGCTGCAACGGATTTATCAGAGGCTGTAGGTGCAAAATATCTGACAAACTTACCAGCTGCTGTTCCTCCAATGTGATGTCTTGGTTCCTAAAGAACACAACATTACGCTGCGAGACTGCAACAACGAAATTCAATGCACCGCTGAATACACAGAAATAACGGAGACCCACTGATGATAGCTAGTTCACGGATGAGCTCGTCCGCATTGTCCGCCTTCAGGAGATCAGACAGCTGAACATTTTTGTACTCACGCCCAATGACGGGCGTGTACTCGAAGTGCTCGTATTTATCGAGTGCACCGGTGGGTTGCAGTGGTGTAGTGGATGCTCGGACGAAGTGAGAAAGACGCGGCGTCCCGGTTGGTACAGTTTGAGTGACAGTCTGTGTTATGGACATCGTGAGTTGAGGTTGGAGAGGATAGTAGCTGAGTACACACGGGATATAAAGGCGGCAGGTGCAATGACGAATATCAACGAAAGACTTAGATGCTCCCCTGCTGATTGATGAATGCGAAGAGAGATTGCTTCCGTCCAGAGAGAAGGTTGGGTTATCTATCACGCCAGAATGCGTCAGTATGCTGCTCGATGAGTGTTGCTGGCGCCAGACGCGATCCCGTGCCATAAATTGATCGAACAAACGCAAGGTCACAGCATAAGTAGGCATGCATGCACCAATGAGACAAAATCAAACATTGCGATTAGTTGCGCATCAAACAGTCACCACGAATGCTACGTACAGCGGCTGTTCATGTAAATGGAAGTATAAATGCATGTAGGTCAGGAAGATGTGCGGGGAAAGAACGTCATAAGCTGAGCAAGAAGCTGCAATATGGCGGCTTGATCGCTCCATCCGCTTGTGCTTCTCCTGGAGGAGTCCCTTGAACTCCGTGCGGCGCTCCACAAGCCTGCCTCGTCACACAGACTCTCGCGCTCTATCGTGAGTGTCGTAATCTCGCGATCGAGTTCCTAATACTTATCCGATTCAACGCCGACGGGCCGCCTCGTTCACCAGGTCACCCATTCACATAGTGTATAATCTCACTATGGAATCAATGGTGGTACACGACGATAGAATTCAAAGCGCCCAGGCACCAATTAAATGACACCACTTACTCCACATTGCATAAACTCCAATAACTACTTACCTTTTCATCCATGTATTCTCTCTGCCTTGCCTAGTACTAGTCAAAATGTCGGCTCACGATCTGTTCAAAAGTATTATTTAAAATCAATCCCTACCATCTCTGGCATGCCTTGGTATATCTCTGGAAGTGATAGTTGGGTTAATATGAAGTATTGAGATGAAATTACGAGGGATAAAATGGGACTCACAAGTCGAGATAATTCATGTTTGACACTGATCAAGAGAAGATCTTTCGAAAGGCGCGAATTGAGACACGAGCGAGAGCGGTGGAGTCCGACTTACGCCTCAGCGCCATATCCCGCACGATCCATTCTACCACGTAAAGTTGTCTTCCGCCAGGGTCCACATTGTCCTTCTATATCTTAGCAGGCCCGTGACAAATTCAGGCCACTACCACTCCATACTGAAATATTTCAACATAGAGGTGTACTCCCAATATTCCAGCCTGCAAATATCCAGTCGATGATGCCTGAGATGTGTTCATTAGATACCATAATATTATGTGTAATCAGATCTCCGTAAGTGAACGTGATACGGTGGGGGAAATCCAGCAGTTTTGACTGTACATGTGGCAAGTTTTTCGTCCAGCGTCTCATTGAACGTTCGAAATTACAGTTTGCCGTAGATGAGACATTCATGGGGAAAAGCAGTGTCGTTCGCGCATAGTCCTACTGCTCCTGTCGGAATACGAGAGTCGTACACGGGGCCACCGATTGCCAAGCATACGCGGTTGCTATATGGACTAGTGAAGGTGTGCATCGATGTAGCTCGTCGGTTCCTCCTTGAGTGTATTCATCTCGGAATGCGTCAGCGTGGTGTGAAGCTCTTCTAATGTTTTCCCGGTAGGAGGCGTAAAGACGGACCCTTCTAAAGCGCTCGAAGGGGGGGCATATACAATGAAAGAGTCCTAATCGATCCAGCCAGAGACATCGCTACACCCTCTTGAAGATACATCCTACTATAGATATATTTTGAGCAGTAGATTGAATGGTAATGGATTTCTGCTTGCTTTTGAGTTCAAACTTCGCCGATGATAATACCGTCTAGAGTGAAATCAATATATAGCGGTGAATTACATCCATGGGGACGAGTGAGATGTGTAAACCCAGCAGATGGCGGACAAGAAACTGGTGAGTCATAGCATGAGTGGACGTGCGCGTTGAACTTAGACTAACAGTCAGCCTCTGCCGCACATTCAGCGATAGCTCCGGCCGCGGAAGTTCCAGCTCAAGTTCAAAGTAGAGTCCCTTGATAAAGCGATGGACAGCTTTTCACCCTGAGAGTCGTGTGCAACATTACGGATATTACGTAATTGAGCGTTCAACAAAACATATCATACGACCTTTTCCCAAAAGGAAAGCGTCTGAGTTGCGCCGCACAGAAAGCGTCCATTCAGATCAACTGTATCAATGAGCTACAGAGAATATTGATACTTTTTGTCATTGAAGCCTGCTTCAAATCTCGTTAAAAAACATGAATCTTACACTTTACGTGCCATTATTGATATTCAGTGCTGGCCTTGTATACACTCAGACCTGCCCAGAGAGCTGGGTGCAGCATGCACCCCCCTTTAACACTTGAAGTCGTCGCCTTAGGACATATGTACTCGCATACACAAACCCCGAGCAGGTGACAATCATAGTATACAGAAAGACTGTTCATATGTGCATGCATAGTAACCAACTGTCCGTGTTCGCGGCCGTTCGTAAACAACAGTCGCCAAGGGAGTTCGAAGATTCCATTCAATTTCCCTCGCGATCGTAAGGCTATATGCCCGTCTCGATCCTGACACAGATCTCAATCAGCTCGGGCAGGGATGCAGCATACAAGAGACCGGCCATATAGGGCAGTTACTCAAAATAGATGGTATACGAGAGCGTCCGCAACTTGATAGCAGGCGTAAGATCTGGACGGAACTCTGCAGTAAGAAAGAAACCGAAAATCATCTGACTACGTCATCTCTGCATCAATTCGACAACGCACCTTCGAAGGCATCGATGAAGCTCCGTGGCGCGAGACTCATGGTCAACAGGGACTGAGCATTCGCGGCAACCAGCGTATGATACGAGTCTGATTGTTTGAAAGCACGGAAATACGTGCCAGAAACGATCGTCAATAGAATTCACGTGTCAATAGCGCCATCACTAGATTCGAGGATGACGGTTTTCCAGTCGGAAAGCGTCCAGAGCGTGTCCCGTTCCGGGAATAAGGCCACTCTTTGAAAACAATGCAGAGGTGCATCTGAGTGGAGAAGCAAAGTGCGAAGACAAGTGAGTTTCGTGATCGACCCAAATGTAGCACGTATATGCAGGAAGACCTGTTGATATAGTTGTCTGGGTATTCATGTACATGCACATAGTTTGAGAAAATCTAGTTGATGTAGCTTCCGTGTCATGCAAACAGCGAACGTTCCAAAGATATTAATTTCCCCATCTTGGAAGCACACGCTCTGAGCACTATTTCATCGCCTAGGACGTTCATTGAGTGTCTTGACCAGGTTATATATTCACGTCTTGTCAATCTAGATGATGTCGATCATATTGTGTATGAAAGCGGCACCGGACATACCACGCTCGACGTACTCGTCCAGGCCCCCGCAGCCGGTCATCATAGAATCAATCGTCCCGCCATTCACCTGCATGTCCCATAACCCAATGGGAAGCTGGATCGAAGGAGCAGGAAGAATGGCAGGCCGCCTTGGACCAATCCCTACTAGAGCGGCTGTAGACGTCTGCACACCTCACCTATCGAAATTAACGCGAAAAAGGTGTAGCTAGCGCGGGCGCCGAGTGCTCACCACCTCTATTCACGACGCTGCACCCCGTAACGACTTCCGTTTTACCATAACCATAGTTTCCTTGTCCACTGAACGGAAGTGTAGCCGTCTGAAGAGAGCACGCGGGGAGAAAGCGGGTGTGCAATGCTTGACACATGTCCTATCGCAGTTGTACATATCGTCGAACGTTGGAGTTATGGCTGCAGCGAAGAACGCTGTCACCGTGTCGAATATTTGGTAGAGCAAGGGTAGGTAGAGAGGATGTTCGAGGGCAGAGCTTCTAGCAAGGAGTGTTTTATATGGATATGTGAAGCTTGTAAGAGCAAAGGTTGAAGGAAGTGTCCACATACCCGCGCCCTGTTCACGCCGATAGTAAGCACCTTAGCTTAGGTCTTCCTCCCATCCTCCGACCAACTTCGTCCTTATTTGTAGACGGTTCTGACAGCACCGTACGCGCAGTCAATTTTGTTAATGACCTCATATAACCAAAACAATGTTCACCAACATAGACAGCGAGCTAGGACAGGAAAAAGATGGCCTCTACAACTCGCTCTCTTGATGCTATTATGGATAGGACCCGGATCAGAACCTCCATAGCTTTTTCTTCCGAAAGAGCCAAGCTGTGCTACATATGAATGAAGTGTAGAGACTGAGTACAATCATTGCCGCTGAATCTGACATATACATCGTAGGCATTGAAAGATTCACAAGGCCCGTGGCAACGTTTGCCTGACCAAGACGTTATATGCATTGATCTGCACACGTATAATGCCAGACACTCACCATGAGGAATAACACAAGACCATTCTTGTTTATGGCCTCGAGAAGCGCGGGAGCACTCCTCACAACTTCTTGTTTCCGGTCGTCGTGCTTGATGTACGTCAAGGGATTCGGCTGAACCTTGAGTTTCGAATAGGGAGAGTAGGTGGACTTAGAAAACGGCGATGCGAAGAACACCAGGTCAAGCACGAGATACCCAAGGAGGAACGTTGTGTTATACGCAGCAACCCAGATGATGTATTGAATACTGATCTGCATCCAGATCCGCATGAATTCTCTCGCACACAGTATATAGGACTCACGAGTCGACGCGAAATGCCTTCACCGGCATTAACATATTTCAACGCACCCAAAAGCACCCAGTATAGGACGGCATAAGAGCAAAGTTCAATTGCCGTCTTGTCGTTTTCTCGTTTCGCATGTGTCTCCGTCAAGCCTCGGCGCGTTGATCCCTTCGCACGTTCGCTATCCAAGTCACTCAAGTCATTAGCGCGAGGAGTTGTTGGGCGCGACAGAGGCTCTATGAGCTCCTGTTGGCGCCGTCGGAAGTAAGACGGTGTTGCTGGAAGTACGAGCGTGCCAACAGAAAGGCCGAGAAGGTCGACCGCCAAGTAACCTAGAAAGAATGATCGTTTATTGGTGTTTATTTTGAGGCCACTGAGGAGTACCTATTGATGAAACGATTCCCTCCTTGTTTGCACTGATGATGCTGACACGAGGAGCGTTCATAACGAAATCCCTAAGGCCAGCGTTCAATGCTAACTGGTGCACTTGGTGCAAATTCAGTTAGCCTTGTAATCAGTCAATAAAGATGAGAACATACAGAACGCAACGAGGACACCCAAAAGAGAGATGGGAAATCGTAACATGAGTGGATGCAAGAAAACCTGTAGAAACGGCACAACCGCCAACGTAATAAAGAAATTCCAGTGTGTTCCGTATTCAGTTTGATGCTCCTACAGAGGTCGTCAGAAGACGTCACCGAAATGAGAGACCACAGCATACAGGGTATTCTACGCCCTTTACTGATAAGGTACGTATCAGACCCAGAAATAGAAGGGGTGAACATTTTCGTAGGACAGTAACCAATTTGGGTATCAGTGGATTCTTCAGATAGGAGGGGTTTTTGATGAGCGGTATGGCGGATACAATGCCTTGAGAAAACACAAATGAGCCGACGCCCAAGTCCATCTACAAGAGCGTTATTATAATGTGAAAAAAACAGTGGTCCGAACTCACTAGAGATACACCGAACGTTTCACACTTGGCCAGCATGCGCGGAAAGACAGGAAAGTCGACCGCAAGAATGCACGTAAATGTCATTAACAGCATGTGCGAGCGATATGTTGTTAAAGCGGGAAGCGGGGCAATAACTGGGCCAGAAGGAACTTTGATCTGTGGTGTCTCTTCAGCCGTTCGGTCTTGCACGCTTGCAGACCTCTCGTCTGACGAAACTGTTGAAGGAAGAGGGGGCCCAGTGTCTCTACGCGGCAGGAGGAGTACCAATCCTGTCACAATAAGCAATGCTAAATTAAGGAAGCTAGGAGATTCGGCAGACAAAGTAACGGAGAGAAGGAGTGGGGTTCCTAATAGGACGAGATCCAAGAGAAAGCTAGACTTGCTCTGAGGAAGTCGTGTTCTTAGGGCTGAATGGAGTGCCATGGAGGACTGCTACGTTCAGCACGTATAGCTCTGGATAAGTTTGGTTGAACTTACGAGAGCGGCAAGGGATACCATGTTAACGTGGCCAATGCTGGAACCTGTCATGCCCGAGACGAACGCCTCCTTCGATGTCTTGTAGTCATCACCCATGACGAAAATTTGTTTCTGTAACTTCAACTGAAAGGCATGTAAGTTGTGTAAATGGCCAAATAGCGGAGAACATCAATGAGTTCGACATGATGAATTGGTGACATACCAAGCTTGAAACAGTACTGTAGGACAATATCTAATTATTTGGATTGTCTTTCGGCGTAATATCATTCTCCGTACTGAAACCTCCGTCTGGCTATCCTACGAGGAGTGCAACTTTCTGAGTTTGGCATCAGAATAGTATTGAAACCTGCTGATGTTGGGAGACATACGTGTAACGTGAGGAGAACTTTTGTACGTCGGCGACAAGTATTGGATTCCCAGCTCAAGATCCGGCCTTGAGCCACGGTTCGATGCCTAGTATCCCGATTGGACGAGTCTATTACTGGAGTGCATACCAGTGACAAACAGAGGTTTATACGGGCGCCTATTAAAGCGCTTATGATTCAAAATACGACCCCGCCATTAATATTATTGCCTCAGTTCTCAACCTTCTCATGTTACCCCCGCATACACTCCTCCTCTCCGCCCCCTTGCCGCACGGCTGTATGACGCTGAAAAACAAATCAAATTTGCATCTTATGCCACTATCGGACATACAAGTGGCGAAACCATTGGACGGCTCGACTGGTAGTGATACACTCTTCTCGCTATCACGTTCGTATCCGGAAGATGATGATTATCATTGCTACCGTTTACATCCACCCTTATCGCTATGACACTTCCCATGCACACTTCGCCCCCACGGCTGGTCATTTGACCCCGCTCAATACCATCTCTGGTCTTGGCGAGAGATGTGATCAATAAAGGTATGTGTTGAGGCATAAGATGCACACAGCGAGTTCATAGTGATACAAACATCGTTGCCCGCCTGCAACGCATGTGAACCAAACATGCGAAACGAGACAGAAGTACCCTCGCGGCCTCCATAAACGCTCTCGTATACTCACAAGCCTCTGCGTAAATTTGAGCAGCGTGTGCGCATGATATAGAATCTCACCCCTCTGGGACGATCGCAACCAGCTTAAGCCCCATTCACCCACGCTTGATAGTCGTCCTCCAAGAACTGCCGCACCTGCACCCAGTCCCCACACCGATGCACCGCCCCACTCCCGTTCGTCTGCGGGCCATCGAGAGTCCCGTCCGACAATACCTCGTAGTACGTGCTCTCCAGCGTGATGTCCGCGCTACACAGCGCCACCTGCCGCAGATACCCCAGGCAATGTGCTGCGTGCTCCCGGTGCATGTCCAAGCGTGAGCGGTTCCCCGCAGCGAGCTCGTTGAACGCTCCGCGCAGGCCATCCAGGCAGTGCAGCTGATGGTACATAGCGACGCCGTAGTAGACCTGTGTGTCGCCGCGCTGTATCTTGATGAACCCGTCGCCGCCTGCGGGAAAGAGTGATGCCCAGTCGGCGTCGTCCTGCAGCCCGTACCGCTCAGAGCCGGAGATCTGCAGCGCTGCGGGATGCACTTCGAGCGGCAGCCGGGACAGCTCCTCTCCCGGGTAGACGCCTGCTGGATCTGTGCGCTGAGTGTGCGTGTAGATGCACAAAAATGAGAGACGTACCTGGTCTACGGGACACATACAACCACAGCCCCGCGATATTGCTCAGCAATGCAACGACGAGCACGAGCACGCCGGCGTGCACGACGTGAGCAGGGAGGACATAATATGTGCCAGAGCTGTCGTGCATACTGGGTGCTTCAGAATCATGCTGAGCTCGTGAATGATGACTTGACGGCGAAGTATAGAAACATTCGACCGAGGGTCCAGAATGGAAGCGTCTAGTCCAAGTCTAGGTTAAGTAAGCACTGCAGTCGCCCGTCGTTGTCGTCGTTGTCGTCGTCGTCGCGCATCCTGGATGCAGTCGAGGTCTACGTACACTGCGCTGCCGTTGTCGCCCAACGCATTGGATGAGCCGGCTTCGGCAAGGGGCGATCACTCCGACCCGCCCTCCGCGAACCTGCCCTCCGCCGCGCTGGTCTTCTGCACGCGTCGGTCGGTCCTCCTTCTCTACATCCTCTACGTGCCCGTCCTCGTCTCCGCCGTTGCTAGCCTCGCTGCACTCGTCGATGCGTCAGACTTGCTGCATAAATACGCGCCGCGCGCGCTGCGCAACCTCCCCCGCCCCGACATCTCGATTGGACTCCCTACGCGAGGCCCACGGCTCACTGGCAGGGTGCGTACACTGTCATCTACCCAGTTATCCCCCAGAAATTCTAAGCCCCTCTTGCGCACACAGACCTTCTAGTCCACGGCATCGAGCGTGCCTTATCGAGGTTTCATTCTGCCTTGCCGTTGACAGCCGCCACGCAGCACTGTAATCAGCAGTATATATCTGGTCCGCCCCAGCCCCGACGAGCAGCACTCTTTTTGAATCCGCTTCCTGTGGAATAAGCGTGGGGAGAACCTCGTCGTTTGCTAAATCCCAGCAGCGGGCAAAGTATGACCTGGGTGCGAAACATCCGCCCGAATGGGGAGTCGTGCGATGCCCGCTTTGACATTGATTCTTTTCCCGTCTGTTGGTAAGCCATTTCTGCTTCAGATGGAGGATTGTGGGTCGGGGGACGGCGGAAACCCCTGCTGAGGTTCGTGCAGCGCTAGGGTGGGAACAGAGTGGCTACTTTTTTCGGCACACGACTGACCGATACTATATATGCACTTGATATTCCAATTATCAACTCGTTTCCGTGAACATCGACTTCCATGTGTCACTCAACTTTGAAGTGCATGTGTATCACGGTCATGCGCCAACCAAGTAGCCCGATACTGAATATATGCGTCGTGACGATATGCGAGTTTCTAGCAATGGTAATCGACCACAAGTACCCCGAACGTACAACGCACAGCTACAAGCGAAAACAACATGCAGTATGCGCACAGGATTATCAGCATACAGCCTTCACAGCTGACCATGATTAGAGGTAGGATCATAATGCACTACGTTGATGTGTACGGACGAGAGCGACTCGGCAGCCACAGCGATCAGCCTCGACAATTTTCTCGACGCCCTGTCATTGCAGGAGATGGCGGAAATGCACGCCGATCGACGCGAGCAAGTCAGCGACGTCATCGTTGCAAGACAGGTTGACGACGTCGAGTCAGAGAGGATGCTGCACTCCGACAACGCCTGCATATTGCAGCTCTTCTTGAATCGCACTTTCATGCACGAGAGCGAGGCCAGGCGAGGGAGCGCACGGACAAGCCGCCAAAACACGACCGCAGAAGGGAATGGCATAAAGTGGGGGAGCAGCTTGGTTACTGACCCAGATGCGAGAGTTACATGGAGGAAGATCTGCGCGTCCAGCCGCCCAGCTACGTACGTACCATGTCCAATTCGAAGCAGCTGAACCCGGGAAAGTTTCTGCATCATGCGCGCAGCAAACGACCCAAACACACCCATGGATTTCCCCCCGAAATTCAACGACACAGTATTGAGAGCATGGCTTTGCTCCGGGTGCTCGCTCAGTGCGTTGATGAAATACTTGCTTTTTGTCTATGCCACTCAAATCAATCACCTCCTGTATACGAAAGCAACATTGGGCATACCACCCACGACACACTCGGCCAAGTCGTTGAAGGGCGTCGTCGGCGTGGAAATTGTCGTCGGCAATAACGTCAATTATCTGCTCCCACAATTCTGGTGGAAGTCGGATCGAAATCATGGGGAAAGTATCTAATAATTGGCTGATCGTCCGCCCGGCGATGGGAGCATCCCAGCACGATTATTGCCCGTTCACATCTATACTGCATTCAACATATCTGTACCTGGGGAAGAGGAACGACCCACCAGCTCGAACTGCAACATGATTTCCCTCATTGCCTTCCCCACTTCATCTGCCGTGAAACAGACATCCTGCCATACGCTACTGGAGGGACATCCCGGGCCACGAGTAGAATTGCCATGTGCAGACAGTGGGTGCATAAGACATACGATCCCTAAGGGATGCCCACTCCTCCCAGCCAGATAACTGTTCCTGCCAGCTGACAGTTGTGTCACCACAGTGTGTATGCGGTATACGTGCTGAGGATAGGATCACCGATCAAACTTCACCGTATTGAACCTGGATTACACATGACGAAATACATAGGTGTGATCACGGCTATGCCTCTCAGTGCCATTGTCGCAGAGACTTCATCTTTGTGGACAATAGAGATATACTCGGCCTTGGCGACCTACTAGTAGTACGTACGTCTACGCAGGTAGTGATCCGAGAAGACCAGTTACTAAAGCAGAGTTAACGCAATCATCTTGATATGTAAGGAGCGGTAGAAACCAAATGAATCCAGAGCCATCGAGAAGTTGAAGCTTGAGCTTGAGGGTGACGCCTGAGCAAAGTTTCCGGCCGGGCGTCTATGAGCTCCGGATTCATCTCATAGTTTCGATGGTCATTACAGTAGCACTCACAACGGCCGTCAAACAATTGAGGTATCGAAGCTTTCTCTAGTGATGGAAACAGGACGGTTATTTTTTAATTCTATTACAGGCGGCATTTTGCAACACTAGTTTGAGGGCGAATTAGATGTGCACAACATTTGACTCGCGGTGTACGCATACAACTTACCCGAAGTTCTCAGCATCTCTTGACGAGTGATCGCGAGACAGCAGAATTAACATTACTGATTAACAATCAGTATAGAAATAAAGAGAGATTTATTCAAAAGGAGTCGGAGCCATGTCCTCCAGGGGTTAGGTAACAGTGTTTATTGTCTTCTATGATCACAAGGGCCGAGTCTGCGAGTCAGCCATGCCAGTCCCGACTATGGCATCCCCGCCGTCTCTCTTACATATGCATAGTTAACTTTCACTAATCCTAATTTTGGCCACAGCTATGCCGAATACATGTTCTGTTGGTCCAGGCTGCATCCCGTCTATTTCAATTACAGTTGTATCTATGGTCTTTCCATACACCATGTACTCGCTGTCTACATAGGGCCAGGCCCTCACGGATAATAAAGCGATGAAAACAAAGGCCCAGTTTGAGTGCTCAACCGTGGTGCTCTGTAGTATTAATACGCCGTAAGCTTCCAGTTAGCGAATCTGTGAATACGTCGACATACTGAGGCTCAGACACCATAATGAATGGTAATGCCATGATCAGAGGAGTAATCATCGCAAAGTGGACCATCAAGACATCCTTGTGCTGAGTCTGTAGACGGGTGGTAGCCATGATCAGCAAGGCATTCGCATGAGACGAAACAAACTGTACCATCACGACTTCCAAGCTGCGGAATCACTCCTGCATTCGCCAGCAAAGCCAGTGTAGCAAGACAGGTAAAAATCCTGAGTGACTGCATGACACGGTCGGGCGAAGGATACAATCGAAGTACAGGGATTTTTGACAACGCATGTGAGCTATATATTTGCACAGTCGTTCGTATTTTTAGACACAAGTGCTGGGAGAATAGTTTCTTGGCTGTGCACTCACAATTTTGTAACTCTCTGGTCAGGTGGTAGTCTGACGAAATACATGTCAGAAGCCACCATTGAAACTAATCAAGAGATGCATGAATTTCAGACAGGCCGGTCACGCTGAAGAAGTCAGAACAAATGGAAGCACAGGAGATGTGAGACGCTTCCGTGCTCCATGTAGTTGCAGTGCTCCCAGGCAGTTATGTGACATCTACCAGATATCAGTACAAGCTTGAAATCATTAGCAAGTTGTGCATGCCTCACACGGAAGCCCAGGATACCGTGTGGCCGAATTTTTCAGTAATCGGCATATTCAGCGAGACTTCCTAAGGAGAGCAGGATGGGTGTATATAATCATAGAATCAATCAGCAAGACCTGAGTAAACAATACCCACACGATGGAGACATTCGTGGCCAAAGCACGCCATGTCTATACATATGTCCTCAAATAATGTGACGAGTCGAACTTGTATATCCGCCTTACGTCGATCCTTGGACCACAATACATTAAGGAAGGAAGGGATGGATCGAGAAGTGAATATGAAATTCATAAATCATATAGTCAGTACACATGGAAACCAAGGGCTGACAAGAATAATGCGCCCGGGGACACGTAGCAGGGTGCTTTGGCAATCTCGGATCCAATACAACCCACCATGTTTCTCGATCAAATGATAGCGGTGTATGATCGCAGCTGCCAATATCACCTAGTGAATGCGTTCCGAACCCCGTGCCGAAATCATCGCTCACATCCAGATATAACCATGCACGAACATCACGCACGAACGTATATGAAAATGACTGATCAGTTTGAAGCGTTCGTTGCGCTCGTATCAATTTCATGTCAAAGCAGTGCAGTCACAGGTCGCCTCAGGAAAAATTGAAATGATACCGCCACTGCCACAGCCTACGCACCTTCCTGATACATTTACATATCAAGTCGCAAACTTACCGGCTCAACGTTCAATCAGCACTTCTTGATTCTTATGAGATTCATTTCCCATCAAGTTCATAGGAAGGATGTTCCAAAACGTTCTGCCAGCAGTGCCACATTAAACAGAGGCTTGGGCCCCTTCAAGGTGGATGCAAGACCTCAATACATCGACTTGAATGCAAGCGGGTTCCAGATTTATGAAGCCTTTATACGAAGAGGATATCGAAAGTTGATCGAAAGCGAGCCATTGTGCGAGTAGTACGGTTCCCTTGACCACGGTACAGGCAAGGAAACGCTGTTGAGCGCTTATTGAGAGCGTCACTTGCCGAACCGATCACCGTGACTGGTAGCCGCACACGGTCGTCCTCGTTCACATTTTTCCGTTATTAGCGTATCCGCCATGTAGCTGGCTGCGAATACCATTTCCTCATAATACTCTTGAGATTCACTTTGGGTCACATTCATGACCAAGAGAAGTGTATATGCGGTATACGTACCTACACCGTAAGTGGAGTCTCTAGTGGATACGATGGCACCCAAAGAGGAATTCTGGCACCGGGATTCCAGGACTATAACGAACAACGCAGCGCAGCACGTCACGCCCACAACCACTTCCTCGCCCACGCGCAGAGATCCGAGTGGTCTCGACATTCACAGCAGACGCAGAGCCATGAACCGTACGGAGCCTTCATCCTGAGGGCAACGGCACGACTGCGCTGAGAGCTTCAACAATACCTGTATTGGGACTACGCGTGGTACGAACGCCGGCAAACGCAACCTCTTCCAATTTTTCAAGAAAGGCAGGTGCAGACTGCAACCGCCTCATCGTTGTGCGTTGCCGTTGTCATCGGAGCGCAGCCGTCGTCGCCCGACGCGTTGGACCAGCCCGATCATCCTGATCACCCCGACTCCGCGACTCTGCTCTCCTCGTCCCCACCGGCCCAAGCTTCTCCGCGCTACCCAACACGTCGACTCTCTTGCGTCAATGTTCATCAACATCGTTTGACATTCAACACGCACCACGCGAACCGCGCACGACCCAAGGTGAGCAGTGAATGTGTTTTCCTGGCCATCTTATCCTACTGTACAAAACCTGCCCTCCTTTGCACACTACACAATAGTTCTGCCGAGCTTAAATGAAGCCCGTTGAAAGCTCGAAGACACCGGTCCTCGTCTCCGTACTACGCACGTACATCCAAATCCTGATCTGCACAAAAATCCCGGCAGGCTGAAGGAGAACCCTGTCCATCTCCCCATCCCGTGGGACCAGAGCAGGGAGAAATCGATGCAAATGTCTCTTTCAGAGGCCCGTTCTGAGCCCGAGTGGCGCAGCCAGGGCGCGCCGTCAAACATCGTCCTCTGAACTTCTCTGTCTGATGAGCAGAGCAGAGCGTTCTTCTTTCAGACGATGGATTGCGGACATCAGTGCTAACACGCCCTACCATTCCTACAATGTCGGCAGCGTCAGCCTTCACAGCCGCGACGAGGCCTAAATCCAACAAGTCGCACTTCTGCAGGGAGACGTCGAGAGCCACACACGAGCCAAGGGCAGAGGAAAGCGTGTATTCATCACAACACTTGACGACGATGCACGTTCTGTTCTGGAAGAGGGCCGGATCGACGTTGGAGATAGCTCTGCAGTTTTTACCGCGCACAGAGGTAGATAATAATGGCGAAGAGGCAGTGGGTGTCACCTGAGCGAGGTCTCCGGCTGGATATCCACATCAGCCCTGAATTTATCTTCAAGTATGGTCATTCAAGCTAGTGTTTACAACGACCTTGAAGCGATGATTGAGCCATCGAAGCTTTCTCTGGGGATGGCAACGAGATGGTCGTATTTTAGTTCTACTCCAGGTGGCATTTGATCATGCTAGTTTGAGGGCGAATTGTATGCTCCAAACTTCTGATTCGATATCATTGTATGTAACTCATTCGAAGTTCTCAGCATCCCTTGACAAGTGATCATGAGACAGCAGATTTGAATTATTGATCAAAAGTCAAGATAAAGACAACGAGAGATCTAAGGAAGAGTTAGAGCTACGCCTTCTAGAGGGGAGGGTTAGAACCGCATTCCTTGCCTTCAGTGGCCAAAGGCCAGGTATGCGAGTCCACCATGCCAGTCTCGCCGGCTCTCTTACATGTGCGTATTCGACTTTCTCTGATCTTAATGTTGGCCACATTTTTGCTGCATAGGCTGCATCGGATCCCTCTATTTCGATCACAATCGTATCTATGGCTTATCCATACACCATGTACCTACTGTCTACGTAGAACCAGACGCTCGCGGATAATAAAGTAATGGAAATAAAGAAGGAAAAAATCTAGATTGAGTGCCCAATCGTGGTGTTCTGTGAAATTTATGCGCTTTAGCTTCCGATTAGCGAAGCCGTGAATACTTTGACGAACTGAGGCTCAGACACCATAATCAATGATAATGTCGTCTTCAGAGCAGCAGTAGCCGCAAAGTGGACCATCAAGACATTCTTGTGCTGAGTCTACAGACGGGTGGCAACCATAATCAGCAAGGCATTCGCATGAGACGAACCACACTGTACCATCACGACCTCCAAGCGGGGGAATCACTCCTGCATTTGCCAGCAAAGCAAGTGTAACAAGACAGGTGAAAATAGTTAGTGACTGCATGGCATGGTCAAGCGAAGGATACGATCGAAGTGTAGGGATTTTCGACGATGCAAGTTTGAGCTATATATGTTTCTCAGTCGTTCGTATCTATAGACACCAAGTGCTGGGAGAATAGCTTCCTAGGTGTGTACTCACAGCTTTGTAACTCTCTGGTCAGGTGGTAGTCCAACGAAATACATGTCAGAAGTCACTATTGAGACCAATCAGGAGATGCATGAATTTCAGACAGGCCGGTCACGCTGAAGAAGTCAGAACAAATGGAAGCACAGGCGATGTGAGACGCTTCCGTGCTCCATGTAGTTGTAGTGCTCCCAGGCAGTTGCGAGACATCCACCAGATATCGTACAAGCGTAACATCATTGGCGAGTTACGCATGCCTCACAGGGAAGCCTAGGATACCGTGTGGCTGATTGTTCGAACAATCAGCAAGTTTGATGAGACTTCCTAAGGAGAGCAAGCTGGGTGGATATGATTTCAGGATCGATCAGCAAGACCCGAGTAAACAACACCCACACGATGGAGACATTCATGGCCAAGGCACACTGTGTCTGTCCATACGCACTCCTCAAAAAATTGTGACAAGCCGAGCTTGTATATCTGCGTTCGTCGACGCTTGGATCACAATACATTAGGGATGGGACAAATGGAGAAGTGACTATCAAAATCGTAGATCACATAATTAGAACTTCGTACACATGGAAACCAATGGCATCAATAACGCACCCGGGGATATGTAGCGGGTGCTTTGGCAATTCCGGATCCAATCCAATCTGCTATATTTCTCGATCAAATGGTAGTAGCGTATGGCCACAGCTCCCAATATCACCTAGCAATATGAAGCGTCCATTACGCCTGTGCCAAGTCAATATCAAAGTAGTGGAGTCAACCGTCACAGACCGCCTCAAGCAAAATTACAATGATGCCGCCCCTGCCGCGGCTTACGCACCCTTCCGATACATTTACATATCAAACCGCAAACTTACCGGTCCAATATTCAACCGTCATTAATGATTGTCATGAGATTCATTCTCCATCGAGCTCATAGGAATGATGTTACAAAACGTTCTGCCAGCAGTGTCACATTAAGAAGAGGCTTAAACCTCTTCAAATTGGATGCAAGACTTGAGAACGTGGACTTGAACGCAAGTGGGTTCCAGATTTATGAAGTCCCTATACAAAGAGAATATCGAAAGTGAGCCATTGTGTAAGGTTACCGTCGTGAAGGAAACGCGATTGCTCGCTCATTGAGCGCGCTATTTGCCGAACCGATCACTGGTGGCCGCCGGCACGCGTTCATCCTCCTTGTCATATTTTCGCTGCTGCCGTATCCGCTATGTAGCTGGCTGCAAATGCCATTTCTTTATAATACTCTTGAGATTCACTTTTCCAAGAGAAGTGTGTATGCGGTATACGTACAGATACCGTAAGTGGAGTCTTGGATACAATGGCACCCAAAGACAAATTCTGGCACCGGAATCCCAGGACCATAACGAAGAATAGAACACATCACGCCCCAAGAGGAGTGCGACAGCCGAACCACGCGACGAAAAAAATTAGGAAGAGGGTGAGAGACGAGACGGAAAGCATACAGAGAAACACCAAGTTGATGGCGGTGGACACTGGACAGCCACCGTGTACTGCAAGTCGTGAAGCTCGAATTTCTCTCAAGCCCATGACAGTGGAAGTGGAAGCGGGCATGTATCTGCCAATGGTGTCCACACGAAGTGAGCTGGGAGCGTGGATTCGGTGGGAACGTGTATGGAGGTGTACGGGCGTAGCTCGTGAGGTCTGGGCCGAAATTATCGTAATTAGGGTTGAGCGATAGATACAAGAGATCTAGCATAGGTGCAAGCCTTCTGGAATACAAGGTGGATGAGATTGGCGATGAGAATTACTTACACAAGACGTCCACTGGCATGCAATGTATTGGAAGCCTTGACGAAAGCTGTGTCCGATGCCAGCAGTGCTCCAATACCACATCCATCACTTTACTATTATGAACATTCCTGAACTGAGGAAGGCGACTTCTTGAAGGACGAGAAATTGACGGCCAGAGAAGTCGCGATCCATCCGTGCATAACAGTCATTGTCAGCCTGACCAAGTATATCCTTGTCCTCGATTAGTTTGGACAGACGCGCGCGATATGATTCTTGCTGCTCAGATCAGCTCTTTAAAGTGGAGTTCGAGCGATAAGACACGTAAGTTAACAGCAGGTGATAAAACGATTGGAAAATCCCGAAATAGAAGATATCAACGTCCATGAATTTTCTGGATGTACCAACAGACAGCCTTGGCCATGTACCAAAGTCGGTGTTCAGACGTACCCTTAGTCCGGGTTCCAAGGACGAGAGTAACTCAGAAGCCACAGGGAGCAACTCAGACGACTTATCCCAAGCCTCTTCATCATCATTGCAGGTGTGTGTGTGGAGTTGCACACGGGTCAACATGAGAAGGTCAAATACATCAAAATTCAAATACAGATAGGTGTCGAGTTGTCGGAAGGAGCCTGACGCGCGGACAGCGCCTGCCACATTGCAGTACTTCTCGCAGACCACATGTCTGCATGTGAAGGAGGGGAGACGAGGGAGTGCATGGACAAGCCGTCAAAACATAAGCCCAGAAGGAGATCGAGCATGGTCACCGACCCAGTGTTACATGGAGGAAGATCTGTGCGCGCAACGGCACAGATATCCAGGCGCATTCTCAGAATCTGAGCACTTCGACTCGAGGCAGCTTCTGTATCATGTGCACAGCAAATGACCCAGAAATACCGATCGACTCATATTTCAGATCAAATACAACCCTCTTAGTGCGTACGACATCGCTCGGGATGGTCACCCAGTGCACGGATCAGGCCATACACTTGCTTCCTGTCCATTATATTAAGCCTCTTTTGGCGTTGAAAGCAGCATCAGGAATGCCATCGACAGCACTGGCCATGACAGCTTCAATTATCTGCTCCCATAATTCCGGTAGAAGTCAGCTAGAAGCTGTGGGGCAGATATTGAATGATTCTCTGAACGTTTGCTCAGCGATGGAAGCATTCCACCACGACTGTCGCACAGTTCTATCTATATAGATATATATATACTGCATTCAACAAACCTGTGCACGAGATGAGGGAACTACTCACCAACTAGAACTGCGATATTGTCCCCCCCTCTTTGCTTTCCCTATCAGCCGCAAAACAGAAATCCTGCGAGCTACACACCAGAGGGCCATCCACGGGTAGAGTTGCCGTGTGCGCACAGGGGGTGGGTTAGACGTGCATTCTCGAAGAGATGCCTTCTTCCTTCCTTCATCGAGTTAGATAGCTGCCCCTGTGAGCGTCACAGCTCTGCAGCCCTGACGATTATGTGGTGCGGTCCAACACCATGTTCTGGTAATAGGATCTCCTGTCGAACACCATCGTGTTTAACCTAATTGCACATAGCGAAAACGCACTCAAAGCTGTTATCACAGAGAATCGCCTGGATCATCGTGATAGACACTTCCTCGGCCTTGCAACTTGAAACTACGCGCAGCAAGATAGTAGAAAGTCAAGCTGCCAGCCCGAAACGGGAGCGTCTCAGCAAGTGCCCCGGCGAGACCCCCCAATGAACAAGCCGCCAACCTGGAGCGGAAGCGTCTAGTAATTGAAATAAGCAGGTGCAGACTGTAATCGCCCTGTCGTTGTGCGTTGTCGTTGTCATCAGCGGCGAACGCTGGCGTCGTCGCCCGACGTGTTCGACCAGCCCGATCAACTCGATCAACCCGATCAACCTGACTCCGCGACCCTACCCTCCGCCAGACCCCTCAAGGAGCCTCTCCGCGCTGCTCAACGCGTCGATTTTCTTGCATCAACATTCAATGTTGAGCGTGCTCAGCATCATTAGCTCGATAGCAGCTGACAGCACTCATGCAAGTTACTTCATTCTTACAATATGAATCTCTAGGTTGTAACGACACCGTTACATTACGGTCTAGTTCCGTGATGTCTTTAGTTACCGTTTACGGCCAATGTCTCGTGCTAGTGCTAGTGTTCGTCATCGCTTTCTCATATCTAATGTATTTGTACTTAGCTAGGACTCGCGAGGCAGTCTCTCCCTCGTCGAGTCAACGCCAATCTACGGCCACCTTTTGCTTGTATTTCTCCGTCTCGAATTGATCTCGTCTTTTGTTCGCAAACCTCGTTGTGACTTGGCCGTTACATAGGTGTCTTCACTTGAATGTGGTGTGGTCTCAATCAACTTGAGTCAAACGCGTTGTCCCGCGAGCAACATTGGCAGCGTCTGAAGGAGCCCCGTGTTCGATTCGTACGGACCTTGTACAAGCGCCCAGAATGGCCTTCAAAGGGTAGTTGAGGTGTCCATGAAGCTTTCTAGTGTTGCTGCAAGCGGCTTCAAGTAATGCTAGTTTGGAAGCGTATCGGATGCGCCAGACCTGAACCGATAGATACAACTCGCCTAAGTCACGGTACTCATAATCATGAGACAGCGGCGAAATCAACATTATTGATTATAATAAGAATAACGTCAACGAGAGGTCTGGTATAATAGCACTACAGATGAGGAGAAAAATACAAATTTAATCCATAATCGTGGCGTTCTACGAAATCGTACGCCATAAGCTTAGGCTGGCTGGCAAAGCTATGAATACATTCACGAACCAAGGCTCAGACACTGTATTGAAGACCTGAACGATCATCGTCCTTAGGGAGGCGGTGGTCGCAAAGTGTATCGAGTGGATCATTAAGGCATCCTGTTATCGAGTCTACAGACGGATAGTAGGCATGATCAGCAAGGCGCTCGTACGAGACGAAACACACTGTACCATGAAGACTTCCAATCTGCGGGATCACCCCTGCATTTGCCAGCAAAGCAAGCGTAAAAAGACAAGTGAGGATATTAAATGGCTGCATGTGGTGGTCGAGCGAAGGATATGACCAAAATATAGGGACTTCCGTGACGCACACTTGAACTATATATGTTTTCCAATTGTTCGTATTTTAAACACTAAGTGCTGGATGAACAGCTTCTTGGCTGTGTACTGACGGCTTTGGTAACCCTCCGGTGACGTGGTAAGTAGTTTAATGAGATATATGCCAGAACCCACCATTCGGACTAGTCCAGGCGAAATGATGCATGAGTTTCTGACGGGCCAGTGACACCGAAAAGGTAAAGAACAGGCGATGTAAGACGCTGTCTATGTCCACGTAGTTGCTGTGCTCCCAGATAGTTATGTGACATCTACCAGATATCAGTACAAGCTTGAAATCATTAGCAAGTCGTGCGTGCCGCACATGGAGGCTCAAGGTACCGCGTGGCTGATTGTTCAAGCAATTGGCAAATTCAGCGAGTCTCCCTAGGAAGGGCAGGTAGGATATATATTTAGAACCAATCAGCATGATTCGAGTAAACAATACCCACACGACGGACTCATGAAATGGCCAAAGCACGTCGTGTGTACTTCTCGAATAATCGTGACGAGTCAAGCTTTTATCCTCGTACTGGATCAATCTTTACACCACAATCCATTAGGGAAGGAGTAATCAACTTGAAGAAGCGACTATGAAGATCGTAGACCACATAGTCAGTACACATGAAAACCAAGCTGACGTAAATAACGCCCCCGGGTATATGTAGCAAGGAAATTGGCAATGTCGGATCCAATACAATCTGTGCCAGCGACAATGTCTCATACCTGCCATAGTTCTGGATAAAATGCTAGTGGCGGCTGCCTGTATCACTAGGTCAACGCATTCCGGAACCCGTTCCGGAGGACACCACTCACATCCAGATATGACCATGCACATACATATACGAGATTTATTGAGTAACTCGAAGCGTTCTTCGCGTCCGTGCTAAGTCCATGTCGAAGCAGTGTAATCACAGGCTGCCTCATGAGAAATCGAAATGATGCCGCCGCTGTGGTCCATGCACCTGCCTGATACGTCCACCAAATTGCAGACTTACCGGTTCAACGTTCAACATTGAACTGATACTTGATGATTGTTCTGAGATTCATTTAGCTCCATCAAGTTCATAGGAATGATGTCCTGAAATGTTCTGCCAGTGTCACATAAAACTTAGGCTTGGACTTCATGCAAGTCAACTTCAAGAATACTTCAAGATTCATGAAGTCTCTGTATGAACGAAGAGGATATCGAAAGCGAGCCACTGTGCAAGTAATCCGCGTATAATGATAGTGGCAAGGAAACGCCAATGAGCGCTTATTGAGCGCGCCTACCACAGGCGGCCTACTGTTATCATTTAAAGAGCACCTGAACAATACCAACTTTGTCATGTCGCGCCCGTCCCTTTTGCCTTCACCTTGTATAGCATGTTTACGTCCCTGACAGCTCACGGGAAACGAGCTCTTGCCCAATGTCGAGAATTGACAGGTGCCTGCGAAAGAAGACGAGCAGACAAAGCTTACGTTAATCAACTGTCCCAGCACTGTCTCGATCACTTCAGACTCACAGATCGCGGCAGTCGCGAACGCCTATCCTCCAAATCCGGTAAATATATGTTGCAATTTTTATGAATTCATAATCGAACTGATTTTGAGAATATTTGTCGCAGGACTCGTCGTTTGATACTGGCGACGCGAACCGGTCGACGTGAGTGCGGTTGGCGTTTCCAGCCGTTTTACAATCTGAATCCTCATTCTCTAGTCCCGAGTACAAGCGGATAGCTGCATACGTAGGCGACTGAGGATCCCAATCTGGACATCATCTGCTTCTGGAGTACGCGGCGAACTCGACGCCGAAGACCTGTGTATATCGCGAGTCAATTGTATCATTCCAACAGCCGTCGTAAGTCAAACAGGCGACACGTCTCGCATCCTCCATAATACATTTGAGGACAGGGCACACTATCTGGGCTGCTAACACGCGTCGGATATTCCGGAGTTCTTCGTTGCTATTGATTACATTGGTACGAATGGCATCAGGGAGGCCGCACTCGCCTCGTTTGTTAACTCTAGGGCGTTTTTGAACTCCAACGCTCCCACAGATCTCCCTGCTAATCTAAGTCTCCTGTCCGGTGCCGGTCGACTGCAGTGGGCGTCCACCTCTGAGCACCCCTTGTTCGCGTTTATGAATCCAGTACCCGCATTGAATATCACTACAGACACGTACCGCATGGACGCCATTGCCCTCTTGACGAACATTGCATTGGAATTTCTTTGAAGCTGCGTAATAAAACTAGGCAAGTGGCAGTTTCGAGCTTGTCGACTATTTGACAAACACTAGCTGCCACTGGGAATATCGAACGAGGCGTTTTAGCGGATTCATGATTGCGAGGATATTATATTGAACATTGTTGTATGCTTTTCATAGCGGGATGATGGTCAATCAGTAAGTTACAAGCGGGGAAAACGAGTGTGCGACGAAGATGTACTAATGAGGGTAGGTAATCCAAGAAGACATAGTATGATTCAGTGCACAGGAAATGCTCGTCAGGAGCGGCCTGATAAATAAAAAAACATCGACTGTCCTAGAATCAATAGAACGCAGGTACGGTCCGTCAAGCTCACAAAAAAAGATCGACATCGCTGTTGGATGTCACGACGTTCACATGGTGGCGCAACATACCTGTCGGACGGCCCGTCTGTGACGCCCACTCAACCCTCCCCGAGACCTCGCTCTCACTCGTCTTTGGAAATGTCTCCACTTCGCGCTCGAGCCTGGGGGTCTGGGCGTCTGCGTCGAAGTGCACCTGCGGCGCGTGCCAGTGCGTGGAGCTGAGGCTGAACCACCCAGCGAAAGTCTCCGGAAGGTAAAGCCGTGCTGGTGCGTTCATCGTGTGCAATATCGCCTGCACAATGCCGTCGATCGGAGCCTCGATCATCGCGACTCGCACTTTGGCGTTGCTCGTACTGAAGGTAAGCCTGATGTTTGCAGCGGCGGAGTCATCGTCAGCGGCGATGGCTCTGGCGGACACTTCAATGGGTGCATTCTGTGTCATCAGATCAAGAGTGTGTGTCGTGTTGTATGAGCCGTAGATAGGTGCGTTGGACGTCTTTACCCTGATGTTGTGCCCAGTGATGGACTGTACCGATGTTGGTCATTTCGCTGCGTGTGGGATCGAAGGGAGGAATACTCACTGCATTTATAGGGCTGTCTGGGGATTCCAGAGACACGTCCTGAAACGACACGCGGTCCCCCAAGTTGGCGTGGTACTCGAAGTTGGGCATCAATGCTTTGAAATGATTGAAGTGTAAGGGGGAACCGTCCGACAGCGGAAAGTAGATCCTGATCAAAAAGGCTGCTCGGTCGCTTGCCTGAGGAGAAGTAAGGAGAGTATTCTGCAGGCGAGACTGGTGTGCGGTCAGCCCAGAAAGATAATTGAAATGCAGGAGAACATCTACCGTGATAAGCCCCACACGTGTTTCGTTCAAGACAGCACCTGGAACGAGACACATAGCGGCGGTGCGCTGCAGGAGATTGGGGTCATCTACAAAAGCGGTAACCTCGACGTGCACATCGTCACTGCCCGGGTAGCGCTGCGTATCGTCTACGAGAAGCTCCAGCGAGCCATGTATTGACTCGGAGGTACCATAGCTGCCAAGAGAGAGCGCTACGGCGGAGGCTGGGAGAGCGAACGACGAGTTTACAGTATGCATATACATTTGGCCCAGGAATTCGTGTGGCACCGGGGAGGCCTCCATTCCAAAGTGCCAGGGAAACCAGTGCATGCAACCCTCCAGAGGCGTCCGGACATGATTCATATCTATGACGGAAGAGGGACGATGACTTTGTCGCTGCAGATGAGATGAGCGAGGCCACGAACGCACTTTGGGAGGAAACGTACCTGCTTCACAGCGCTGACGACGAGAGACGGGAGAACGACGACTAGGAGCACGATGCAAAGCAGGACGCATCCTAAGATATGCCACCGCCAGAACCTCCGGAAGCCTTGGGTTTGAATCCTATTGTCCTCCGCGTCGGATTTCGAAGGCACACCGATCACTTGGTATCCACGAAGTCTGTTGAGGAATACCGCAACGAAGGGTGGGCAGAATGTATGGGCCATCTCGGCGATTGAGTCATCCGAGTGGAGTTTAATATCCGTGAGCTTCAACTGAACCTGAAAGGCAGAAGGGCCTTGAGGCTCGCTCGGCGATGCGTCTTTCATTTTCGACTCTCGGAGAAAATGGCGAGTTGTAATAAGTTAAAACGAGCGACTACTGATTGCATTGGTGGGATGGGACTTTATACTCAAACTTGACATCCGCTTCAGCGGCCGCTAGTCGCTAGATCTAGATGCCAGTGAAGCCGTCAGAAGAACGGACCAGCTTATTTAGCTTCGGGGATCGCAGGGATCGCATTTCTACCGAAAGATTGATGCCTCCTGTCAGGCTTATCGCAGCCCTGATGTCGAATTATTTCACAGTCAGAAAAAGGCACTTCCAAGTAGCATTACCCAGGAAAGAAGGCGTCACTGTTTCTTTGTACGAGCATTTCGTGGTAACATTTCAACGAGTCGCTGTGTGCAGGGCGATGAGAGCTGATCAACTAAGAGCGAGGCGCGCGATGGGGAAACAGCTGTCAGAGGCTGTCGTCAGTATCACCATCACGTATGCACTACAGTTTTATGGCACGTACCTAGATGTCAACAAAATTGATTGTGAGACGCATCGCCATACGCAAACGCTGTGAAGTTGTAGAAACTGGCCGAAACTGGCCGAAACTGGCCGCTGAAAACCTGCTCTAATCGATTTCATTGTGAGATTTCTATTGATCTGACATACTGCCATTGTCGCAGATAGAATGCATCCGACCTTTTGACTGTAAGAAATCCTACCTCCGGCGTGTGAGGTCAGATTCGAGGTCCAAACAATTCAGCGTCAACGTATGCGAACAGAGCGTTAAAACCAAGGCGTCACGAAGATTTCTCACTGCCAGAGCGAAGGGCAAGCGGATCCAATCAACCTCATTGAGGCGATACACGTCCATCTTTACAATGCCGCAGCATGATTGTCATCCTGCAGCTCAACAGAGAGTCTATGCGTACGGATGTGCAGCAAGAGAAATTCGAAGTAGAACAAATTGCCATGGAGGAGCTGCAGACAACAGGAGGGAATGCACCAGGTCAAACTGCGAATTTGCCGATATGATACACCTTCAATGTCCCCATTGCCATTTGGACATAGCTCATTACGGTCATGTTAGCTTGAAGCGTATGGCTACCAAATTGTCCATCGAACTATCTCTCCATGACTTCTGTTCTCTGGGATGCCCCGTGTCTTCGTCTCACAGTGGCACAGCTTTAAAGATCTCGAGCGCGGATAAGCTAAAAGTCGGCTGCCACACCCGTCTCCGAGTTCGCTTGCGTGGTCTTGCGGGCATTCATCGAGCGCGGATAAGCTAAAAGTTAGCCGCTACACCCGTTTCTGAGTCCGCTTGCGTGCTTTTGCGTGCATTTATTCGGTCTTTTATTCGCTGGCTTGTTGTCAAGGATTGAAAAGGCTCAGGGTGATATAACCTCAGCGAATCGAGAATAGTGGATGCGTCGAGTCAGGGGATTTGAAATCACAGCGGTCCGGGAGTCCACAGGCGCTCTTTTCCGAACCCTCTGGCTCGGCGCCTCGAAAACACTCGTGAGCATTAAGTTTAACGCTCTACCGGAAGGCTTATATTCTCTAATAATCAGTATCAGGCTTGTAATGAAACAGATTGATGGTTCACAACAAGCAAGTGCAAATGGCGCGACAGCTTCGCACCAGGATCATGCACTTGCACGACTACCGCGTTCATTCCCTTGCCACCAGAAAACCCTTCACTATCGAAACTTCTGACAGGCGAAGATAAAAGATAATTTTCTTTGTCTCCGGAAGAGGGCGTTGGTAGAGGAGAACTATGGGGATGCTTAGATCCTGTTTGTGAGAGGTACGTACATTGCGTGTTCATCAGATTCGTTTGCTGTTTTATGTGGCTACTGGTTGTATTGGGTGCCACTATTCGCAGCTATACGCTAGCTTGCGGCACACACCCTCGGGTTGCGGGAGTAACCCGAGGTGTCCCAATGAGAGTGCAAGGCTCAGTAACTGAGGGAATTCGCAGCGAAGGTCCTACCGTACCTGTCTATCCATATATGCATGTGCTTCTGGCTGATTAAAGTGACGGAATAGAATGTAAGGTCGTGTAACGCCATCTCATTAGCGACTATACTCGGTGCCTTGGACAATCCGGCGGCTCTGATTAGCTTGATGCGTCGTTGACTTCTTACATTTACGCGTCTTGTAAATGCCATCCTTGCTCTCGGTAAATGTTGAGTAAATCCAGATGCCTTTCCAATTGGTGCTAATTGTGATCCTTGGATCGAATTGCTCAGCAGGAAAGTTTTCCACGAGCCTGATAGAAAGCGGTAGTTGACTCGGACCCGGGTCAGGTTGATCAATTTTCGGACGTCGGATCATAACAAACCACAGCCGCCTTGGATGGCGCAAGAGATGAGATTCGTGTTATTATCGGGTGCGCACCACGGACCACATTTAGCATTGTGCCGGACGTGCTTCTCTCGAGAGTAGAGTAGCCGCTCATTCATCATTGGTTGTGCGGTTTGAAACGCGTTAGCAACGAATATAGATCGGAAGCCGACATGCACATCCACCGACAGTCCCGCAATATGTGTCGGGGGAAGTCTCTGTCGGTATTCCTTCCAGACGAGTGTGCGGCTTGCTGGACTTCATGGGCGATGATTTCGTTTGCCTCGTATAAATACACGGTGGCTAGTCTCAGTCTAGTCAGACAGCCAGCTCCCGTCTACCCAACATCCGTAGTCCTACCCACCACTACTTCGCCCAACACACTTCACCCAGCACACAATGTCTGTTCATGCTTCACCCGCCGTCGCCTTGCCCACCTTGGTCCTCTCCTCTGGGCTCACTGGTACCGAGTTCAGCCAAGCATTGAGCCCCGGATTGACAGTAGTGGCCGCGCTACTCCTCGCAAGTCTGTATCTACTCCCCTTCTTCACGAAGATCGACCCGTTTGGTCGTCGTCCACGGGACAAGGATGGGAATGTGATTCCTGACGGGCCAATGGGCCTCCCGCTCCTTGGTATGTCCCTTATAGGTTCTTTGCCACCCTCGTGGATGCTCACGTCACATCTGATTCACTACAGGCTCGTTCCCGTTCCTGACGCACTACCCTGAACTGACGCTGGACTATTGGCGCAAGAAGTTCGGGCCGCTGTACTCGATGTGGCTGGGGAATCAGTTGTTCGTGGTCGTGTCTGACCCAGGGATCGCGAAGGACTTGATGGTGACGAACGGGTCTGTATTCTCGTCTCGCAAGGAGATGTTTGTGAAGAGCCAACTTGTGTTTGTTGGCCGCGGAATCACCGCGACGCCATACAACGACCGTTGGTGAGTTTGCATCGTACTAGGAGTCAGCCATCATGTCCTGAAGTATCGTTTCAGGCGCAAGCATCGCCGAATTGCGACAGGATGGTTGAACTCGCGCGCGGTGGCCGGGTACACGGACGTGCTCGATCACGAGGCGACGGTCATGGTGCAAGAATTATACAAGATGGGCAAGGCTGGACACGCACCGATTAACCCACAGCCACATGCTGGCCGTTGCTCGCTGAACAACATGTTGACGATCGTCTTCGGCATGCGCACGGACTCCACTGAGCACCCGCTCGTCGGGAGGGCTCTCAAGCTTTCACGAGAATTCATGTACGCGACATCCAGTCATTTCCAGGATAGCTACTGACAATGACAGCAACATTTAGGAACTGCACAGGCCCGGTGTCGAATCTAGTCGACTTCTTTACGCCACTGCAGTGGATCCCGACAATCATGTCCATTCGCGGGAAGAAGCTGCACAAGGGCCTGGTAGAGACGTACGGTGGGATGATCAACGACATTGAGCGCAGGATGAAGGCGGGTGAGGACGTGCCCGAGTGCTTGGCGAAGACGATGATCCTTGCGCGGGACGAGGAGCAGTTGGACCACTTGGACATGGCGATCCTGACCTCGGCATTCATGATTGGCGGTGTTGAGACGGTGAGCCTGAATGAGACATTAATTCAGGCTCAAACTGACGGACATGGATCGCAGACTGCGTCCATCATGCAATGGTTCTCTGCACTCATTCCTGCATACCCTGAGATCCAGAAGAAAGCGCAGGAGGAGCTCGACCGAGTGGTTGGACGCGACCGCCTGCCGACGGTCGAAGATGAGATCAACCTTCCGTACTGTCACGCAATTATCAAGGAAGTCGAACGGACCCACAACCCATTCTGGCTTGGCACGCCACACGTCGCGTCGGAGGACTTCACATACGAGGGCCAATTCATCCCCAAGGGCACTGTCGTCATCCTCAATACATACTCGATGCACCACGACCCGTCGAGGCACCCGGGACCGGAGAAGTTCAACGTGAGTGCAGCGTGCTGAGTGTGAGTCTCGCTGACATGTAGCCTATAGCCTGAGCGGTACATCAACGACAGCACGAACAACACCGAGTCTGCGAACCTGGCTGACCCGTACGAGCGCGACCACTGGATGTTTGGTGCGGGGTGAGTGGTCTTCGCAGGCATGTCTTTGAGTCCCAACTAACTTGTCTTTGCTTTTCCAGTCGCCGCATCTGTCCTGGTATGATCGTCGCCGAGCGAGAGATCTGGCTGGCGATCTCCCGTATGCTTTGGGCATTCAACATGGTTGAAATTCCCGACAAGCCCATCGACCTGAAGGAGTACGACGGACTGTCTGGCCGCTCGCCTGTGCCTTTCCATATCAAGCTCGTGCCGCGCCACGAGAATGTCGCGAAGGTCCTTGGGTTGTAGAGGCGGCCCTGATATGAGAAATAAATACATAATCTACTAATCGATAATTTACTTGTACAGCTCTCTAGATATGATGTAGTCTTGTCATCTGTAGCAGCATACAATCTGAATTTTAACACTTACCAAGCTGGCCTGAGCGACACACGGCGACGAGTATTTTTGTCGGTCAAGCTGTTAGGAATTCTTGACAGCTTGTGTGATTATACTCGCGGCGATGTTATGGTTTGCAGTACATAGCTGGGAAATTTCCACCGTGATGTCATACCATTGCGCTACATGTAATGATAGAAGCGAGAATTGTGTATGAGATGTGAAAGGAAAACGTAGGGCTGACTCAAGAACTAGCTCAAACTAGAAAAAATGGATAGTAAAGAAGGCAAGACTCGGCAGTCGCAGCTGCAACTGTTGAGGTGTTTTGAGCAGGGCCGACGGGAGCCCAAGACGGATGGGAGTCCTAGACCCTATACCAGTTATAAAGAGTGACCAGCTCATCCAACAGGCCACCACTGGGGGTGCCGAACGAAGAATGTCAAGGGATTCACGATGACGATCGCTTTCCATGGCAAAGTGCGACACTCAATCACTCGGAGGAGTGCGTTCGACAAAAGTACGCTGATTGCGACATGTGTTCAGGAAGGTAAGGTACGGTGCAGTGCGCCAGCATTACTCGTCAACGACGACTTGATCACCACAGCATATCGACTGTATCCGCAGTCAGCAGAGCACAGGCACTGCGCGTCGAGCTCACAGGAAGAGATGGACATCGCTGTTCGACGTGCGGATCTCTACAGATTGAGGCCGCATGTTGTGCGGACGGCGAGTCTGCAGCGACGCCCGTCTGACTGCCCCCTTGACATCGTTTCCGTTCGCGGTGACTATTTGGACTTCGCGTTCGCGCCCAGGCGTCTGGGCGTCCGCGTCGAAATGCACCTGCGGCGCGTGCCGGCGCGTGGTACTGAGTGTGAACGACCCAGTGAACGTCTGTGGGAGGGACAGCCATGCTGGTGCATTGGACGTGTGTAATATCGTCCGCCCGGGGACATCATCGGGCGGCGCCTCGGGCACCGCGACCATGACTTTGGCGTTGCTCGTAACGAAGATAAGCTCGAACCGTGCGTTACCGGCGTCGTCGGCGGGCGCAATAGCGCTGGCAGACACCTCAATGGGTGCGTTCTGCGTCATCACATAAACGTTGTTTGTCGTGTTGTACGAGCCGTAGACAGGCGCGTTGGTCGTCCTAACTCTGATGTCGCGCCCGGTGATGGACTGCGTCGACGCTGATCACCTCGCTGCATGTGAGACTGACGAGAAGGATACTCACTGCATTGATAGGACGGTTGCTAGCTGCCAGAACCATTTCCTTGAAGAAGACGTGGTCCCCCAAGTCAGCGTGGTACTCAAAATTCGGCATCTCTGCCTCGAAATGGTTAAAATGCAAGGGACCACTTTGGGAAGGCGGGAAGTAGACTTTGATCGCAAATGCTGTTCGCTCGCTAGCCAGGCCAGACGGCTTCTGCAAATGAGGCTGGTGCGCGATCAGTCGGCAGAGACAACCGAAGGCAAAGGAGTACCTACCGTGACCAGCCCCAGACGTATGTTGTTCAGGAAACCAGCTCTCATGAGGCACATCTGAGAGGTGGGCTGCACGTAATTGGCGCTATCCGTGAACTTGGTAATCTCGACGTGGACTTGGTCGCTGTTAGGATAGCGTTGACCATCGTCTACGAGAAGCTCCAGCGACCCATGTGTCGACTCGCGGTCACCATAGCTCTCTAGCGAGAAAACCGAGCTGACGGGGATAGGAATCGACACATTTACAGCGTGCATATATGTCTGGCCCATGAACTCGTGGTGCCCAAAGGAAGCCTCCTCTGCGATGTTCCAATCAAACCGATGTACGCAGTCATCGTAGTGTCTATGATCAGGGATAGGATCTGTGAATTGGGAGCGACGGCGCCGCTGCACACGAGATGAGCTAGGTTCCAAACATACCACGGAAGGGGGACGTACCGATCTCACGGCGCTGACGATGACGGGTGGGAGAATGGCCGCGAGAAGCACGATACAGAGCAGGATGCAACCTAGGATGAGCCGTCGCTTTCCCTGCCATAACTTCCGAAAGCTTTGAGTTTCAATCCCGCTGTCCTCATCCGCGTCAGATGTTGGGAGCGCAATGGCTTGGTGGCCACGAAGGTAGTGGAGGAATGCTGTGAAGAGGGGCGGACGGGACGTCTGTGCGATCTCGACGGTGTCAATCTGGTGCTGTTTGACATTCGTGGGCTCCTGAGCCTGGAGAGCAAGAGGGCCTGGCGGTTCTCCCGGCGGCGTATCTTTCATTTCGGTTCTCGGAGAAGATGACGAGTGGAATATGCGACGAGATTAGTTGAGAGAGTGACTGCCGGTTGCCGTGGTATGATGGGATTTTATACTAAGTGTGACATCTGTAGCGAGTGAGTTGTAGCTACTGACGGTTAGATGGTCACGGAGTGACGAAGTGGCTGTATGCAATGCGACAGGAGACTGACTTGCACGACGTAGAGCTGACTGTCAGAGGCTGTAGCAAACATCAGCATCACGAGGCGACACTAGAGGTTTATGGCACGAAGCTAGATCTCAGCAAGTTGAATTGTTAAGCGCGTCCATGAGGCTGTTAGCAAGTAGAAATCGGCCACCGAAAGCTTTCTCTGGTCGCCGCCGCTGTGGCCTATACTTGTTAGTGCGACCACGACCGCACATCGAGCGGACTTAGGCCCGTCGACAGCGAAGACATCTGTGTATGCGCACGTATCACCTTGATGCCATCTGGCAGGGGCGCACAAGTAGACAGCCAGCAAACCTGACCTTCTCGACACGATAAGTTTCAATCTCCAATCGTGACGCATTCCACTATCCCCAATCAAGATGTGTTGAAACGTATACGGAATGGAGTGCTCGACTGAGATATGTTTTCCGTAACGTACAAGTTGTCATGGCGAAGAGACACGCCTGCAAGTACTGTACGCTAGCGCGTTAGAAGGTGATGGCCGAAGCAGAGCCTTGGTAAAGAAGTCGGGCGTCCTTGTCAAGTCCCGGATCCTCAGATCGCTGGTTACAGCCTAGATCTCAGACAAGTTGAAGTGAAATTCATCCCGCAGATATAAACAATAGCCTTGTTCAGTTAGGCCTTGAAGCTGCGTAGAGAGCCGCGTAGAGAGGCCGCTTAGAGAAGAATCGCACTGTGACCATCTTACTACTAGTACGCGTCATCGCTTAAATTCGACCGCGTACATACCTCAGTTTTCTACGGCAGAACTGAACAAGACTAGTGAGATCGATACAGTTGCATTTCTGCCGAGCGAGTGCCTCTTCGTAGCATGGAGTCAGGCATAGAGATAGTTGACAGCACCTAGTAACAGCGACCAGAGGTGACATGGGTCTGATTGCGTTTCTCTCATATTTGAAACATATTGGGTTTTATATTGTTACCAATGCAACCAAGTAGACTAGCCATAAATGTTTAGAAGCATATTCCAAAATTAAATCAGAGTATCTAATATCTAATTCACTATTTGGAGTTAATAGTACATTACATGCTGTGACTGAATCATTCTCATCGGCTACTCTCAACTTTTGAAGGCTCACATATTCTGAAGATGACTTAGAAGTTTTGACTACTAGATACCTAATTATATGTATAAAATCTGGTAAAGAATATCTTATTTGGCTGCATTGGTCACAACAAAACCCCATCTGCGACGTAATTTAGCTATCTCAAATAGTCTTGTGTCTGCACTGTAAGTAAGTAAATCTCATAATTATTATATAAGCACACTTACAAGGCTACAATATTTATAAGTTAGACTTATAGAATCAGACATTCGAACGCATTTGGAAGCCGCCTTTCGGGGAGATTTTGGTGTCTGAAAAGGCATCTGAGTTCTAACCATCACCGGGGGCAATCGGTAATGTGCCAGTATATTCACAGGATATTATGAAAAATGAAAAACTGTAAGGTTTGTACAAACTCGAAACTTTATTCAAGTGGGTCACGTGCAGCCCTACTTACGCGTCTACACGCGGCGACGCTGGACGCGTACACCTTGCGTCTCGTCGAACTCCTTGCCCGCCGCACCTACCTACCCTACCTACCCACCCCAAATAACCCACGATGGTGAGAGGTCCCGCCCACGCAGCAACCCACGCTGACCCGCACGCAGTCGATAATGGAATACAACGGTGGCTCCGTGATCGCCATGGTCGGCAAGGACTGCGTCGCGATTGCGTCCGACCTGCGGCTGGGGAACCAGGCGATGGGCATCTCGTCCAAGTTTGAAAAGGTGCGTGTGCCGCGGTGTGTGCGCGGTGCGGGGCTGAGCGGCGGCAGATCTTCCCCATGACGGACCGCGTGTACCTGGGGCTCCCCGGTCTCGCGACGGACGTGACGACGCTGTGAGCGGACACTCTCCCCCTCCTCTCCCCTACCTTCTGTGGGCTCACGCAGGATGGCGCAGACACGAGCAGTTCCGGTACCGGCTGAACATGTACACGATCAAGGAGGAGCGGGAGATCGAGCCGGAGACGTTTGCGCACCTGGTGTCGTCGACGCTGTACGAGCGGCGGTTTGGGCCGTACTTCATCGAGCCGGTGATGGCGGGGATGCAGAAGGTGCCGGGGGGCGGGTACACGCCGTTCATCGCGTCGACGGACCTGATCGGGTGCATCAACCTCGCGAAGGACTTTGTCGTCGCGGGGACGGCGAGCAGCAAGCTGTATGGAGTGGCGGAGGGCCTGTGGGAGCCGGACCTGGAGGCGGAAGACCTGTTTGAGACGATTGCGCAGACGCTGCTGAACGCAGTCGACCGGGATGCGTATTCGGGGTG